CCTATAACCCTAAAGGTCCTAAACCCTATAACCCAAGACCCTCTAACCCCATAACCCTAAACCCTATTATCCTAAACCCTATATCCCTAGACCCTCTAACCCTATAATCCTAAACCCTAGAATTCTAAACCTTATAACCCTCTACCCTATAATCCTAAAGGTCATAAACCCCAACAATCCTAAACCTTATAACCCTAAACCCTATAATCCCAAAATCCTAAACCCTACAATCCTAAACTCCAAAGTCATCAGAAATTCCGCGAAAAGGACGTCCGCTGTGAGCTCCGGACAGCGATCTTGCGCTCGAGCCGGCGGATCTGCTTCTCCAGCTGGGAAGCTTCATACTCCTGGGGTTTAGGGTTTAGGGTTCAGGGTTTAGGGTTTAGGGTGCTGGGAAGCTTCGTACTCCTGGGGCTTCTTTTTTTTTAAGTGCAATGGCGTCTTACTCCTGGGGTTTAGGGTTCAGGGTGTGGTAACGTTATGGGTGCGTGGCAGACAGCCCACCCCAAGACCACCCTGAGTTCAAGCATTTTAGGGTTTAGTTCTAAAGTCTTCTAGGCATCCCAGCCGGGGCTTGGACACACCCACGGGGGCCGTTACTTTCAACGGGGCCCAGGCAGGCTCGAAAGCAGCACTGCATGTGAGCTTTCTGTGAGTCTGTCCCCCTCTCTAGATTAAGCTTTCGGTGAGGCTGTGCTGGCGGGTTCGTACGCAGACTTTCTGTGAGGCTGTGTTGGCGGGAATTGTGCAGAAACAAGCAGCACTGCGTGTCGGCTTTCTGCGAGTCTGTCTCTGTAGGGCGGGCTTTCTGCGAGACTGTGTTGGCGGGTTCCCATGTGGGCTTTCTGTGAGGCCATTCGGGGGCCGCTCCCTTTAAAGGAACCCTAAAACCCTGAAGCATGGATCCCTTTAAAGGAACCCTAAATCCCTAAACCCCAAAAGCAAGGCCCCAAACTCAAAGCGGCTTCAGTCCTTCTCAGCCGCCTGCGCTCGGAGACGAGAGACCTGGCCCCAAACATAGAAAAACAGCTCAGGGTTTAGGGGTTTAGGTTAAGATATGGACTTTTGGGTATAGTTTAGGGTTTAGGATTTAGTTCAGGGGTTAGGGTTTAGGGTTTATTTTAAACTTTAGAGTTTAGGGTACAGTTTAGGGTTGAGGGTGTAGTGTAGGGTTTAGTGCTTAGTTTAGGGCGTAGGGTTCAGCCTGTAGGGTGTGGGCTTTCGGAGGCGGGTTTCAGGCTCAGGGTTCATAAATAGAACATTAAAAGTCGCAACACTAGTTGTAAAAGTACAACCATAGAATTGCTAATGACTACCCCTGACACTAGTGAAAAGAAAGCTGCTGACAATATTTCTGTTCGCTGCCGCTGGAATACTGATAGAAACACGGTCCCGAATGCAAAAGCACCAGCCACAGTTTTGATGAGTAGGCAGATGGCATCAAATTTAACGTCGTAGCATCATGGTTGGCATGCGCATTACCAGTGACTCCGATATCCCCTAAGAAGGAAATATGCCTTAAATCATATTAGGGATCCTACTATAATTTAAGGTCCATTCTTTAATTAAGGGATGTCGGGGTCTCTGGGCCTGCAGCATCACGTGGAATCCTACCTTCAATCTGGCAGACTCCGCTCCAGGAAAGGAGGCCTTCAGCATGAAATGCTCCCGTCGAGAGCGCTGTATAAAAGATCCAGTCTCTGCGCAGCAAGTGGTGCGAAGGAGCCTCTCTGAGACTCTGCGGCTGGTCTGGCTGTTGCTGTTAAGACCATGCTTACAACTGCTTACTACGACAAGTGCTAGTTTAGCTACTGTTACTATGAATATTAAACCCTAAACCCTAACCCCAAACCTTACGAGTATTATTGTCTCTTCTTCTGAGCCCCAGCAACGGATGCGCATGTCGTTCAGGCTGCAGAGACTTGTCCGCACCAAGAGCCACAGATCTGCCATCTGCTCCGATCTTACGTTTTGCAAAGTAGGGTTTAGGGTTTAAAGGGTTTAGGGGTTTAGGGTTTCCACACACGAAACCCTAAGCCCTGAGGCCTCGAACATAAAGCAGCAGTTCCATCTTCACCAGACGATTCGGCCCAGACGAGACCCCATACAAGCAGGCCCCGAGCTCCCAGCAATGACATAGATATTCGCAGACTGGTATGTTTGCTTACATGTATCTATCTATCTGCTCATTTGACTATCTGCCTGAATATTCTTTGTGTATGGCTTCATCTATCTACTCATCTGCTTATCTGCCTTTGTTCATGTTTTCGTTTGATGTGTCGTGTCCTTCAACATCTAGCTGGTACTTGATGTGTTAACCCAGTTGTTCTTTTGCGCATATGCGCAGGCACAATTACATACATGTGTGGGTATATATGAATATATGTAGGTGCACAGGCTGGGAACTTGCACAGTTGTACAGCTCCACATGAATCCATGGAGCCCCGCATTGACTATATGTGTATCATGCACACACACACACACACGCACCAGAAAGCCAGAGAGAGACTGACAGAAGCAAGAACAAATCAAAAAACATGGCTGGATGTACAGAAAACTGGAAAAGTAGAAGGAAGAGTAGATAGCCTGACAGGTAAACAGTTACATAGACGGATGGATAAAGAGCTTTAGTTACCTACACTCTGATCGGTTCTGCCCGTCTGCTTTTCCTCAGCAACACTTAAAGAAACGAAGGCCCAGCAAACTGGAAAGGAGCAGGTGAAGGCTCCGCTCCCAGATTTCTCGATTTCCGTTCGTACGCTTCTGAGGAGCCCAACATCGTAAGACCCCTGGAACCCGGAAATCAGTCTTGAGCCGAACCATGATAGTGGAACCCCAACAAGCCCCACACTCCCAGAGACTCCAATATCCCTTAATTAAGGAATATACCTTAAATCGTATAAGGGATCCTACCATAAATTCAACGAATATACCTTAAATAAGGGATCTTACCATATGAAGGGATCCTACCATAACTCAAGGAGTATTCTTTCATTAAGGGATCCTTGGGAGTCTCTTGGCAGCCCAAACCCTACTGAGCTCCTCTCGCAACTCTGCTCGCAAAAACCCGAGTAAGAAAGGCTGTAAGCAGCCTTACTTCGGAGAACTGAGACACCCTCCGGACATCCCTGAGAACCCTGTCACCAAGACCTTCCCAAACTCCCTTAATGAAGGAGTATCACCCTAAATCATATTCGGGATCCTATTATAATTTAAGGTATGGTCCTTGATTAAGGGCTTTTGGAAGGTCTGGGCAATCCCTGATGAAGCGCTATCACCGAAATCTCTAGCTTGCTTTTTGAGGTTTGGGCTTTTTGGGTTTCCTACCGTTGGTTGGTAGGGAATGGAAGAATGGTAGTAATAGTAGTTATAAGAATACCCCATTCCTCCATTCTCTACTAACCAAAGGTAAGGAAAAACCCTGAAATCCCGGAGGGTCCTCCACCGCCGCCGCCTTGGTGCACTCGCGAAGGCGCGTGACTTCGGCCTCCTTCAAAGAACATAGGCGTCTGAAAAATGAGGAAGGCTATGTACTAGGGTTGCTTGATATATCTACGATCCTTATTCCCCCAAACCCCGTTCTAATCGTTAAAATCCTTTCCCAAACCCTTTCTACACTTGATTTGCAGAACTCTGACTATGTCGTAGTGCTTGTTTTAATGTTGGGGAGGCCCGCTTTTTCAGCACCGTGTGTTAGCGCGAAGGACTAAGGCTCGAGGGTGTTAAGGTTTGGAGGTTCAGGGGCCCCATAGACCCCAAACCCGCAGATGCTACAATGCAGGATTTATTTCCGGGTCCTGTTATGTGGCCTGCGGGGGCTCTGGAGCCCTTATACCAGGACTAAATGAAGTAGGATCAAAGCCCTACATAGGAGTTTCCGAACATGAGGGGTACCCGATTTTTGGCGTCCTTATAATCAGGATCCTACTCTTTAGGGTTCTATATTAGGGCCCCCTAATTTCCGGAAACCCCTCCGTGTCCTCCGGAGCAGCGGCATATCCACCAGCCATGGCCAAGCTACAACAACCGGTGCTCCAGACGTCTAGGGTTTAGGGTTTAGGGGTTTAGGGGTTTAGGGTTTAGGGTTTAGGGTTTAGAGTTTAGGGGTTAGGGGTTAGGGGTTAGGGGTTTAGGGGTTTAGGGGTTTAGGGGTTTAGGGTTTAGGGTTTAGGGTTGTGGCTGCTGCATGTCGAGCTGCGACGGGAAAGGCACACCCTAAATCCCCAATATACAGGCCTGAATACTTCTTAATGGAGGTGGGCTAGTGGTTTCAGGAGGCTGGCTTTTCTCCCGAATGTTGCTCATGATTTCAATCGGCATGCCAGACAGCGAAGATAGCGGATCTGGCATCGCACGCCGATATAGCAAATGTCATGCTCCCCCCCCCCCCTCCCCCCGCCCGAATCCAACACTAACCCTTAGACTCCTTAGACGCTTAAAGCCCCAAACCCTGGAACCCCACACCAAAAAAATCCTAACCCCGAGGGGCCCCAGCCCCACCCAAAAAAAAAATCCTCAAAACGCCCCCAACACCAAACTCCCCCAGAGGACATGAACCCAGCTAGAATAGGGTTCTTCCTTTGTCAGTGGTCCTTTAACGGCGTCCGTTTCCGAGGGGGTCTGCAAGGGTTTGTTCTATGAGGCCTAGAGGGCCTAAATCATTAGATTAGGATCTTGGGATGTATTCAACAAAGAAGACAACAAGGAATCGTCAGAGTAGTATTGGTGATTGGTTGGGCCCCTAATCGCACTAAAACCGACAACTCAGCGCCGAACCACAACCACAACCGCAAAAAACCCGGAGCCGGAACACCCTGAACACCAAACACCCTCCTAGCGTCCTAGCACGGCCCTGCCTAACCTGGAGGATAAAACGCAACACCCCAAAACCCTCGACCTTTATGCAGGGACCTTCATAATTGGAATAGGGTTTTGGGGATGCCTTATTATAAGCATAGTTTTGGTATATCGCTACACCCGAAACATTTTGTCGCGTCCAATCAGAGCCGCCGGAACCGGTCGCTGGTGATCCAAATCCTGGGTTCATGTGAAAGCATTTAAGTACAGTCTCCCTAATGAAGAAACCATAACATTTACTACAGATCCCTAAGAAAGGTAACTTAAACCTGCTGTTAATTAAAAGAAATATTACTACAGATCCCTAAAAAAGGTAACTTAAACTAACTTCCTCAACAAGCACCCAGAATCGTGATCCTCCAGGGCTCGGCTCGCACCACCTCCTTCGGCTCGAGGCTTTCTGGGGACTTTGGAGCCTTATGAGTTCAAAGGCTTTAAAAGGCTTAGGTTAGAAGGGGCCCCCACCCTGTAATAGTGGTATAATAGGAATATAATAGGGCCCTAATATAATCCTTATTGTCACCATTACAGGCTGGGGGCAGCTTCTAAGGTTTAGGGCTTAATGGTTCTGCGTTCAAGGCTTAGGGGGTTTAGGGGCCTCAGGGTTTCGGGGTTGAGGGTCTTGGATTTTAGGGGCATACATCTCAGTTGGAGCTTGGGTTCAGAGTTCAGGCTGACGGGGTTTTGAGTCTAGGGGTTGAGGGATTCGTGCTGACGTGCTTTCGGGGTTTGGAGCTCCTGCGCGAAGCTTGGGGTTCAGCCTTTTCAAAAGCTCTGGGATTGGAGCCTTCTGTTTAGGAGTTTGGGTGCTGTGGGGTCGGGGGGTTCGGGTCGCGGGGCTTCGGGGTTTTGGGGTGGGGCTTAGTTTAGGGGTTTCAACTTGAAAACCCTCTAGTCTCACCCCTAAATCACAAAACCCCCAGGCTCCAAAACCTGGAACCCCAACTCAAAAAACTAACTTCATCTCCAAGCCCTCTGTAACCTTGGCGGGTTTGTTACTTCATTCTGGCATCTTCTGCGCCTCAAAAAGACAACCCGAAACTTCCACCCGAAGCCCCCTAAACCCTAAACTGTAAATCCCAAATGAAGCTTCCGGGGTTTTGGGGCTTGCGGTTTGGGGGTGTCACGGGTGCCCCGGGCTGCAAGGTCTCAGGGGTTAAAGGGCCTCCGGGGCGGAACCTTCTGCTCCTTTAAGGGGTAGAAGGTACCCCTTAGTGCTCCTGGCAGGATTCTTTAGGAGGAAGCCGTGCAATCTACATTAAGCTCCGGCATTTGGCCTCAACAGGCTCCTTTGCTCATGTCACATGCCAGTTGTAAAACCACTCTCACGGTTAGGAGCTTCAAGATGACGGTGAAGGTCTCGTATACACCCTGCATACACCAGGACAAGGGGACAGTCGGATCGAGCATGAGGATTTAAGGTTTAGGGATTACGGTTTCGTTCCTTCAGAAGCAGAGCCCGCCCTGGTAAGGTGAGAGACGAAACAGTGCCATAGACACAAGGAGCACCCCATGTTCTCAGGCATTCAGACATGGCCTCGAACCACTTGCGGTCATCGGAAACCTTGGCATCACCGAACTGCTCAGTGCGCTCTATACTTGACTATTTGCGCACGGCACAAAAATGGCACGCACAGAAACGATCGTTGGCTGTGGTTCTGTCTTCATGATAGCTCATCATGTCCAGTATAACTGTCATCATCAATTCGTTGCACTGGACCCTTCGTGTGAAAGTCTCGGCGAGCTGTCGAAACATATTCCAGGACCACGACAAAAGGACCCCTCATTCAGCCATGACGCAAGGTAGTTCCTCGTGCCCGCATAGCGGCCGTAGAGGTAGGTGAGCACCACATCTGCCGCATTCCTCTGGATTTCTGAGATCTTGGAGTCGGTGTCCAGTACCAAAAACTCCAATCTCAGAGCTTCGAACAAAGGCAAACAGATGCTCCAAGCCACTGCAATGCCCAACCGCAATACCCTGTGCAGCAAAATGGCTGCGGATTGCCAAAAACTGGGATATAGCGTATAGTAAGCTCAGAAGCCCCAAAGTGCACAGTGACAAGGCCGGTGATATCATCCTACCACCTCTGCAAGACAAAGCCCCACACCCCTCACAATCATAATACAGTGGCCCGAATAATAAGTAACACTATAGAATCACTAGAATCCCTCCAATGGAACTCTACCTTAATATACTCCAAAAACCCTGCTCTGCTTCTGAAGGCCCCTGCCACATCGAAAAGAAACCATAAACCTCTTCAAAGAACCCCAAAGGACAAATCAGCAGAACCCCGTTCTGCGCATTCAGGCCCTGGTCTACGCCTCGGTGCTGCACAAGTCTCTCAGCCCCGGTCCTCGGTGCGGCTTCGAAAGGCTTGAGGATTTAGGGTGTTTGTGGCTTGGGGTGTAAGCTTTCGGGCCTTAGGATCGGCCCCAACATGATGGTAGCCCCTATGAAAAACCCCGAAACCCCAGAAAGATGCGCCCCTAACCCCGATCTCCAAAAACCCTCTGATAAGCCCCATAAACCACCGTAAAACTTGTAAGCCCTTTGCAACCCGAACCATGACCCCCAAGCCCTAAACCCTAAACCCCAAAACCCCTATATAGATCCCTTAAAAACCCTTAATGATCCCTTTAAAGGAACCGGGTTCCTCAAAAAGGGCGGAGCATCCTCGTGGGCACCAGCAAAAGCTGGGATTCGTCGATTCCAGACTCCAGGAGCCTTCTTCGGAGTCTCTCCTGCTCAGGGCTTTAGGGTTTGTTAGGTTTAGGATTGTGGGGGTTAGGATTATAGGTTTAAGGGTCATAGGGTTAGAGGGTCTAGGGTTATAGGGTTTAGGGCTTTTGGGGTTAAGGACGTCAGGGGTTTAGGGTTTAGGGCTTTCGGGGTTTAGGACTTTCGGGGTTTAGGGGTTTAGGGCTTTCGGGTTTAGGGTTTCAGGCTTTTGGGGTTTAGGCTTTGGTGCTTAGGGTCCTTCTTCTCTGCCGGTCCGGCCAAGGCCGAAAAGGCTGAGTTTGGATTTCAAGGCAGGGCATTGTGGGTTTGGACTTAGCTATACTGAACTTAGAACCCTAGCAAAAATATTATTTTTAGCTGTTTCTTAGGGATTTTAGTAACCAAAAATTAAAAAATATTTCTGAGTACCCCTAAGTTAGGCATCCCTCAGCGTCCTGGGCGATCTTCTGGCTGCCTTTTACCGCCTCAGGCTCCCACGCCCCACTTGCAACTGGGAGGCCTCCATAATCGGATGAGGGTCCCTTAAAGGGTTCCTTTCAAGAGGGGGTCTGTAGTAAGGGTTATCATCTGGGTTCTCATAAAGGTGCCCTCATCATTGGAACTTTCAGGATTCCTGTAAGGAGGCGGTCTGTAGCGAGGGTTATCCTTTGCCCTGTAAGGGTTCCTTTGGAGAGGGGGTCTAAAGTATAAGAGTAAAGGTTTCTCTATGGGTTCCAATACACAGGCGTAATGATTCGACTAGGGCGCTCTATGATAACTAGTATAGGTGTATATATATATATATATATATATATATATGGAATACAAGGATATGTTATTGGAGCACACCTCCATATTCCCAGAATTCCCTATTCATGTCTTCGCACGAGGCTGAATGATTCGGGGCGCCAGAGTATAAGAAAGCAGCTTTGAACCTTCAACCTGTAAACACTGAACCCTGCAACTTGCCTTAAATCCTTAAAAGCCTGTAAACCCTAAACCAAACCGAGGCACGACAAACACCGCCAACTTCGACTGATTGGCCAAAGTCTGCATGTACGGGTAAAACGACTCGAAAACACAGTCGCCGTCGATGAAGATCTGAGGGTTGTTTTAAACTGAAAGATCCCTTTCTGAGGATCCGTATAATGAGGGTCCTAGTATTCATGTTCTGACATGTTGGTTCCCTGTTTTCTGAAACTCCCGTCATTGCAAATGATCGAACTTGCAGATTGGCGGATTTAGCATTCGCTGACGCTCTCCCTGTCCAGCTGATTCCCGACACACCACATAGATGTTTACCCAAACATAATACGATGCGGAGAATGCTCATACGTGCCTGAGTGGCATGTATCAAGTGTATCTGTAGCTACCCTACCTATAACCGCACTATACCCCTACGTAGTAAGTCCCTTGATCCTTTAAGCCGTAGCCAACAGAAACCCGGCAAATTTCGGCTGAATCGCTCGGCTCCCCTCAAACCTCAAACCGGAAGCTTGCATCTGTTTGCGGTTTAGGCTCTGAGAGGTTTTGGGTTTGAGGGTTGAGGATTTCGCGCTTAGGGGTTTGGGGGGTTTGAGGGTTCAGGGCTTAAAGAGCCATACGGGAGTTTCCGAAAATAGGGGACAATATAGTACCCTAAATAAAAATAAGGTACCCCAAATTTTTGGAGGCTCCCATACTGGGGAGACCCTACCGAAGCGCATCCGAACAGAGGCTGCCGGAATGCAGAAATGCCCGGATCCACAAGGACTGCCCACAGGACCCCCAATTAAGGTTTGGGGTTTAGGGATGTAAGGGTTTAGGGTTTTGGGGTTTAGGGGTTTAGGGGTTTAGGAGTTTACTGTAGGGTTTAGGAATCTACTGTACCTTGGATCATATTTTGGTGGATCATGACGATATACGGCATGTTCCACAACTATGGGAGTTCAGAGGTCCCAGAGAGCCCAATACCCCTTATCTAAGGAGTACACCTTAAACCATACTAGGGATCCTTCTATAATTTAAGGTATATTCCTTAAGTAAGGGATTTTGGGGGTCTGGGTACTAAACTGCCGAAGGACCCTGGACAGCTTAAGAACCTGCATTCCACCCGGCAATACAAAGCTCCAGGCTGGGACATCAACCAAACTTAGAATAGGAGCTTGGGGGCATCAAAGTATATCCACACATCAAGAAGGATAGAGACAGATATATGTATATATATATATATATGTACATGTGCATGTTTACGGAAAGGAGGTTAGTCCGATGCTTCTGGTACGGAGAGTTCTGAGCCCCCTTGATTCTGGCCAGGCTTCTTCCCGACTTGAAACGCCTACATGATTAGACGAGGGTTCTGGCTGCCTCCTATACTTTTACTATAGTGAGTTCTGAATATGTTATTGAAGAGCCCTACGCCTCAGAAACAGTGTAACTAACTGTTCAGGCAGCCCTATCAAGCCCTACAAGACCCCAAATGCCTTGTTGAAAGTCACCGCAGGCCACCATTCCAGAACCCCTTTCAGAAACCCTCCTGAAAGTAGCTTCCTCCCGAAAGATACTACTAAACATCATACTGATACTGCAGATGATACTAACTCACCATTACCTACAATACGAATGAAAAGAAGAAAAGACTAACTAGCAATAAATGATGGGAGGCCAAAAGGGGGGTTCAAGATTCTTCGGGTAGGCAATCCTTAATACGAACCCTATTATGGGAACCCTAATCCCTACTAAACCCCCATAGGCTAAAACACCTTTTGGCCTCCTATGACCCTAAACAGGCAAACCCCTATACTACACCCCCACAATACCCCTTATAGTAACCCTACTAGGACCCTTTTTAAGAACCCTTTAAAGGAACCGAAGAAAAAGCCCCCAGAGACTCCAATATCCCTTAATTAAGGAATTTTCCTTAAATTATGGTAGGATCCCTTATATGACTTAAGGTATATTCCTTAATTAAGGAATATTCCTGAAATTATGGTAGGACTCTCTGGGCCCCAAGTTGGGCCAGGCGGCGCGCAGAACGTCTGCGGTCAGCTGGGCCTCGTCAAAGCGACCGGCCCTGTTCCGCAGGAGCTCAGGGGGTTTAGGGGTTTAGAGGGTTTAGGGGTTCAGGGGTTCAGGGGTTCAGGGGTTTAGGGGTTTAGGGTTTAGGATCTGGGCTTTGGGGTTTTAGGGGTTTAGAGTTTGGGGTTTGGGCTTCAGGGGTTTAGATTTTGGGATTTAGGGCTTTCGGGGTTTGGGGTTTAGGGTTTGGGGCTGTAGGGGTTTAGAGTTTGGGGTTTAAGTTCACAGGGTTAACAGGAGCTTTGGACGACTGGACCGGGGCCTTAATATTTGGAACACCGTACCAGACTGCTCCTTTAAGGGCTTCCTCTCAAAAAAGTCTAAGGGTTACTGTGCGGGTTTGGTATTGGGGCCTCAACGTTGAGAATAGGGTTTGGCGGTTTAGACTGAATAAATACTCAAGCCCCGATGTTTCACCCAAAACAATCCTGAATACTATACTAGAGCCTCGACCCCTCAACCCTCTTCCACTGCCCAACCTGAACCCCAAGCACACTTGCTGGACCTAAACCCAAAACATCTCCTCACGAAACGCCCTTGCTGACAGGGAGGAGCTTGGGACACGAGCGGGCCCAAACCCTAAATCCCTGATACAGCGGCGTGAAGGATTAGAGTATGGTTTTGGTTTTGGCGAAACGTAACATAACAAACAGTATGGCCATGAGCCTCGCCCCGGCCTCTCCGAAATGCTTCCAGAGCTGCCCACCGCAGCACTAAAGCTGCAACTCCTGACTTTAACTCGGCCCGCTTAGCTGTGCGGCAGCAGAGATTAAGCAGGGCTTGGTGTAGAATCAGTCTAACATGAAGTCTATCAAACGCATGGGCTTGAGGCTTTCGTATCAAGTTTGCCTTTAAGGTTTAGGCCGTGAGGCTAAGAAACATCTTTTCCTTACCCGTACTCGTAGCTGATCGAGCGGGAACTGGATTGCAAGCCCATGCTTTGGTTAGATTTGAACGGGCTTAAGTCGGATGTGCGATCGCATGGACTCTCATGCTGATCCTAATGGATACATGCATGATGAGCGTCAACAAGATGTACTGAAAGACGCCTACAGGATGTGCCGACAGCAGAGAGCTCGAAACTCTGCCAACATAATGACACTCAATTTGAAGACAGTTGCTCTGGTGGTACCCAGAGAGCCCCATACTCCTTGATTGAAGAATATAGCTTAAATCATGATATGAATCCTCCTATAGTTTAAGGTATATTCCTTATGAAAGGGGTATTGGGCTCTCCGGGTACGGTGCTGGCGAAAGTCGCGCAGTCAGATATCCTATGCCCCACAGGACTGGAGATACTTCTAGCCGCCCTCAACCCTGAACCAACAGTTACATGCTTATGTCTCACCCAAAGACTCCAATATCCCTTAATGAAGGAATATTCCTTAAATTCTGGTAGGATCCCTTCTATGATTTGAGGTATATTCCTTAATTCAGGGATATTGGAGTCTCTGGGCCTCAACGTCCTGAGACCAAAGATCGTGGACAAAGTGAAACCAGCGGACAGGGGCCAGCGATGCAAAAGCCTTGCGCCTGCAGAGACAGCCGGCAATGCTTCGGCGAAAGATAGGGGCCTTCAGAATAAGAATAGGGTATGGGGTAACTATAGGCAAGGTTCCTTCTTGAATAATAGTGGTAGCTTTACATCGTAATTTCACAGAGAGGCACCATCAGAAGCTGAAGCAGCACTTCGCAGATAGTTATGGACTGAAACGCACAGAAACCCTTACCCTAGACCCTAGTCCCTTAACCCTGAATCCTGAAACCCTGAAGCGCTAAACCCTCACCGTAAGAAATGCGCGATCTGCCTCAGGACCCAAGGCCCTAAACCCTGAAACCCTAAACCCTGAGCCCTAAAATAAGAAATGCGGGCGATCGACCCACTACAGGGGCCTCAGAATGCGGTTTTGGGGGGCCATTATCCCATAATAAAAATAAGGAACCCCCAAAATAGTATTAGTATTAGTATTAGTAGTAGTAGTAGTAGTAGTAGCAGCAGTAGTAGCAGCAGTAGTAGTAGTAGTAATTATTTAGGCCCCTAGAGCACCAGCTCAAATGCGGAGCCGGGGCTTCTTGAGCCGGGCCTCTTCTTCCCATCGGCCTCGTGCGCCTCAGCGAGTTCTTCCACTGCCAAACCCAAAGAAACACCCACAGAGCGTTAGTATTATGCTGTGGCTTTGCTCTCCCAAACCTGGACCTTCCAAAATCCCTCAATTAAGGGAATATCCCTTAAATCATATTAGGGATCCTATTTATAATTTGCAGTGTATATTCCTTAGTTCAGGGATTTTGGAAGGTCTGGGAACATATAGATCCCTTATCGAACCATTAGAGATCCCTTAAACGGAACCCTATAGTACCCAAAACCCCAAACCTAGACCTTCCAAATTCCCTTAATTATAGGGGATATATAATTTAAGGGTGTTTTCCTTAATTAAGGGGTTTTGGAAAGTCTGGGAACAAACAGATCCGTCCCCTAAAAGGAACCCTATAATAGCCAAAACCCCAAACAAGGATTCTCATCTGAGCGGAGGCTCCAAGAGATCCTTCTCCCGGATTTCTCAGCGGCGGGCGGTGCGGCAGATGGCTTTGGTCCGTGGCAGTTGGAGCTTCAGGGTATTTGCAGGGTTCCTTTAAAGGGATCTATAAGGGGTTTCTAGAAGGGATCTATATATTTGGCTTCAGGGTTTTAGGGTTTAGGGGTTAGAGTTGTGGTCTGGGGCTTGAAGGGGTTTAGGGTTTAGGGTTTCAGGTTTTAGGGAGTCTGGGCTTTTGGGTTTACGGCTTCAGGGTCTTTAGGGCTTCAGGCTTCCATGGCTTCTAGGATTTAGAGTTGGCTTCGCGCTTTCCGCATGGACGTATGCGGATTTTGTGAGGTTTAGGGTTTGGGGTAGACGATGAGACGTGAGGATATGCCGGCTTCTCTAAATGAGGGTTCCATCCTTAGGTCCCCAATATTGGAAGTCACACCCCTTTATAGAAAGGACCCTGATTTACAGAAGTACCCAAATGGAACCCAGGTTCGGACCGAGTCCGCGGACCTTGAGACCTGAGGAAGACCAGGGCTGCGAATCAATTCCGACTAAGCTCCGACTGTTTAGGGGTTTAGGGTTTACCTTAAGCCGGAATAACCTACCGTTTTAGGGTTCCTTACTAAGATTTCCTTATATAAGTCCTTAAAAAGGTAGGTTATTCCGGCTTAAGGTAGGGTTTAGGGTTGCTGGCAAAACTGCCGAGACCCGTTCAAGTAATGATGGTTCTGATGACTTTTCCTTTATACGTAAGTCTTATCGTTATGCTTCTTCTGATGATTGTTGCTGTGTCGTATTGCTATTGTTGATATTTTTCTTGTTATTTTTATTCGTAGTAGTCGTCGTCGTCGTAGTAGTAGTAGTGTTTCCTCGCCATCGGTGCTTCTGCAGATCGTCGTGACACGTCTAGAACCCCGCATGCACCTACCTTGTGCGTTTTGAGACAGGAGCAAGTTTTTTAAGTTCAGGGCCTGTGCAACTTATGTCTGCCACCGCTGAGCAGCGATGAGTCTCAATAAAGTCCAAGTCCAAGTCTATGTTGCGCCTATGTGGACTGAGTTTGAACCGGAGATTGGAAGCCCGATGAACAGAGGCTTTTCTTACTGCTGGTTAGTAGGGAATGGAAGAATGGTAGTAATAGTAATTATAGTACCCCATTCCTCCATTCCCTACTAGCCAGCAGTAAGTTTTGCGCGCACGCTCCCCAGGGTCTTTTGAGACAGGCGACTCGGGGATGACGGGACCGCTGCCCGCCCCAAACACCCCCGGAAAACTGACACCTACTGCAAGGGTAGCTACCCAGAGACTCCAATATCCCTTAATTAAGGAATATTCCTTAAATTATGGTAGGATCCCTTATATGATTTAAGGAATATTCCCTAATTAAGGAATATTGGAGTCTCTGGGTAAGCATTCTCTAGATCCCTTGCAGTCATGGACCCAGCGAGCTCATGACGGCTCTGCGTGCTCACGCCGGCGCTGCCGTGCCTCAAATCCCGCGCAGAGAACTTTGCAAAGCCAGTGAAACGGGTGACTCGAACAAGTATCATGCAGTCTTTCTGTCCCGAAACCTTGCATTCCCACTTCAACCAGCCATAGCGTGATTGATCCGCGGCGACTCCTAAAACAGCCTTCACCTCTGACCTCCAAGTTCCACTTTCTGCGCAAATAGTGCCGTCTGAAGAACATGCAATGTGGAAGGGGGGCCTGACTAAGTAAACTGTAAACTGATGAACGAAGCCCATGGAAAAACTACTGCAAATTGTTCTGCACCCTGTACTTGGAGGTTCAGGGGTTTTAAGTGAGGTAACTATACTTGTAACCCATATTAAGGGACTTATAAGCCTACTTCTAGCCACCCATGAACCTCCAAGTAAAGGGATGGTAGTTTCTTAGGCGCCAGGCCTGCACTGCTGTCGCAGGGCTCGCTTCCTTCCCGTCCTTCGGCGCTGTGTCAAGGGCCTAAGGGGTTTAGGGGCTCCGGGGGTAGCAGGTTTAGGGTCTCGTGTTTAGAGTTTAGGGTTTAAGGGTTCAGGGTTTAAGGGTTTAGGGTTTAGGGGTTTAGGCTATTCGGGTTTAAGGGTTTAGGGTTTAGGGGTTTAGGCTATTCGGGTTTAGGGGTTTAGGGGTTCATGCAAGACGTCTGCGGACCATCCAAGCGAGAAGCACTCCAAGATGCTTAACAGGGCGACATCCAAGACTAATTATGAATTCAAGCATTGCGCCGTGAGCGCGCTGCTCTTGTCAACTTTGTATAACAGCTCCAGACCATAACAGGACTACGCAAAGGAACAGGGCAATGCAGTGCCGGGTTTAGGGGTTTAGGGTTTAGGTCTCGCTTACAGTGGAAATATGGTTGTGCTCTACTGTAAGGGTAATAGCCCCGAAAGATGCCTGAGCTTGTCATCATGGGGCGGCAAACCCAACCCCTGGGCCGCCCCCCCGGGCGAAAGCCCGTGACACCTAAATCCCTCATGAATGCAAGAAACGGCGAAACTAGCGTCCGCAACTTAACACCTAGTAGCCCTTTGAAGGAACCCCTTTATGGGAACCCTTTAAGGAACCCTTAGAGGAAGCCTCAATAGCCTCCTGTGGAGAACCAAACCCCAAACCCGAAACCCTAAGCCCTAAACCCTAAACCCTAAACCCTAAGCCCTAAACCCTAAACCCTAAGCCCTAAGCCCTAAACCCTAAACCCTAAACCCTAAGCCCTAAACCCTAAACCCTAAGCCCTAAGCCCTAAACCCTAAACCCTAATTCCTGTTGCGAGACTGCCCTCTGCACTCTTCGAAAGGACTTTTTCACACCAGGCGGATGAGGCATCAACTGGGTCTCCAGAAAAACAGATACTCTAGGAAGCCATCGGGGATGCCATAGAGCACGACGATGGTTGACTGCTGAAGCTAGCCTTCAGGACCTCCGTGGTGGCGGGGCGGTGGTGGACGACTTGAGAAGGAAAGATTGCCAGGGCTCGCACATCGGACTCACTCAGCAGATCGGCTTCTGTGCGAACGTCCTGACAGGAATCTGCATGGCATTCCTGTTGCGAGACTGCCCTCTGCACTCTTCGAAAGGACTTTTTCACACCAGGCGGATGAGGCATCAACTGGGTCTCCAGAAAAACAGATACTCTAGGAAGCCATCGGGGATGCCATAGAGCACGACGATGGTTGACTGCTGAAGCTAGCCTTCAGGACCTCCGTTTCCGCCCCCCCCTCCGTAAGGACGCCGCAGGTTGAGCACCAGGAGGAAGCACGTGATGAAGTCCATAGGGCGGGCTGGGAGGGATTGCCCCCCACCAGCCGGAGGCGGTGGCGGCGCCGGCACGGTATCATGAGTGATGAGGGCCGGTGGCTGCACGTAGGGATTCGCAAATCCAAGTTGTCCGTACAACCAGTTCACCAAAGCATCCTCGAGCTCCGCCGCGGTTGCATTAAGCTGGAACCACAGCTCACGAAGAACATGGCTTGCCAAACTCATCACGGCCCTCACCAGCAGCCGAAAGAAGATCGCGATGGTGAGGGCCACCAAGCGTGGGAACATCAGCACAACCAAGACGGCCAGGACAGTCCTCCATTTCACCGTTGACCAACGGGCCCGCAGGGCTTGCCCATTTCCATTCCAAGGCGTCACCAAACGTGCCAAAGAAGAAATCCAGGACAAAGCCGGTGGGTTCGCACTGACCACATCAAGGCCACGAAGTGGCCCTGTGCGCCGTCGGGGAGCCGAGCACTCCGGGCTCGCCACTCCCTCTGCAGTACGGTGGGTAGCCGGGCACTCCGGGCCCGCCACCACACCACCATAACTTTGGAGTGCTTGCACCATTCTAGCGAGGACGCTGGTCAAACGACGGGCGGGATTGCCTGCTCGCCACCTCGCGGCCGTGTCGCGGGTGGTAGGGTCTGCAATCACCTCAGCTGGCGACAGGTTGTCACTGACCGGCTCCGGCCCCAAACTTTTGGCTGCTTTGGTCACGGCGCACAGCAGCTCCTGGGCCGGTACGGCCGCATCGATCAGGCTGGCAGGGCCGGCATCGCCCGATTGGGCCACGCCTTTCCCCAAACCAACAGAGCTTCGGCTCGGCCGGCCACTCTGCGTAACTTCACGTGTGAGCCGCAAAGTCGCTCGTTGGGAAGGTGCCGCTCGATTCGCCTCCATGTTTCCGGTGATGGTCCTTCAAGGTAACCCACGAAACTTGGATCGTGAGGATTGGAGACCACCAAGTAAGCCCGCACTTCGGTGTGGTAAGCTACTGCTGAGCTCTTCGCCGTCTGAGGTGAAGCTTCCGGCCCCCTTGTTGCCGCCGCCCTCTCGGTGGCGCCGCCTTTCTTGTAGCCCTCCGAGCCGCTCACCACTGACCACGAAGCTTGGCTTTGCCCACTGGGAGAAGGTACCCGACGGCTGTTGGCCGCCGGTGTTTCCTGCTTCTCCCGGTTCTCGCCCAACTCGTCCAAAGCGTCGGCCAGGTCGCGCAGGGCGTTGGCAATGCGCCCTTCCATCGCCCCTCGTTCAGCTAGCTAACAGCTCTGTGAGATCATCAAGCGGAGGCATTTGCAAGTAGTCAGCATGTGCACGCAATCGGTCGAGAATCCTCGTGGCTTCTGCTGGGGCCTGAGAGACAACCTGAATCGAGAGGGCCGTCTGCAAGTAGTGCCTCAGTGTTTCCGCCCGGGCCCAACGACCTGCATACTGAAGCTGACCAATGTTCCGGTGGACTCGAAAGTGGTAGGTTGCCCCGCCGCCCCGTAGGGATCCAAGTGTGAACCCGCAGGTGCCGAGGTGCATCTCTTCCAGAGCCTGTTTGAAAAGCACAGCCCAACGACGTTTGCCTATCATCAGCAATCGTTGCCTCCGGGAGCGATCCTTGCACCACCACTTTAGCCACAGCATCAGGTCCTTTTCCTCAGCCAGAGCAAATTGGTGATTCCAGACTCGCTTGGTCTTAGGGTTCCGAATATTCACCACCAGGGCAGCTCCTTGGCCGACCTCGTCATCGACCGGGAAGAGCAGGTCTCCGACCTTAAGCGAGTCCACTTCCCCTGGTCGAAGAAGAGCACAGAAACCAAGCCACGTGCCAATGAACACCGACCACCATTCTGCTCGAAGTTGCCCTCGGTATTGAAGACCTCGCGTCAAGCAGAAGATCAGCAGCCCCCTCAGGACGTGGTAAGGCAGTGGGATCCGAGGTTTGATCGGTTCCAAGCGCCGCCAGCCCCGCAGTAAGGTCCACGAGTTTTTCAACAAAGGACCTGCGATCCGAAGTCCCCTTTGTATGCCCAGCACCCCCAGCACAATCCAGTAGCGTTTCTCCCCCGAGTCATAGGCATGGCAGATCGCCTTTTCCAGGAAGCGGTCCACATAGGCTGGTGACGAACGTTCTGTGAATACTCCCCCCAGCTGGTGCACCACCTGAAGAAGGAACTGCCCTGCCTCGCGAAGGTGCCGGCGGTAATCAGAGGAGAGAGCCGCCTGGCTCAGTTTGTGTGCCCCCCTGCTTCCACGCGGCATGTGCTGTTACGATCTCCTGGTAAAAGAGCTGAGGAAGGGCCTGTTCCGTCGGAGACCCCGGCGGCGCCGGGCCCTTGTGCCTGTGTTCCCTTGAGCAACGGCGTAGAGGCACGGGCAGCCACGGTGCATTCGAGAGCATGATCATGGGCTGCTGGGGTGCCGGCGTGTCAGGCAAAGCGTAAGCACAGCCATCCCAACGGTGTAATTTTACATTTTCTCGCCGAAGAAAGAGCTCGGTGCTTCTGCTTCGCCAGGCCTTGCTGCCCCAGGGGTGCACGATCACGAAGTAACCTCCATGGTCCGCTAAGGTGCCCGCTAGCTCAAGTGCCCGTTCCCAGCATCGCCACTGAAAACCCGCCTGGGGCACACTGTCGGCGACGCCCGCGGTTGGCCTGCCAATCAATGCATTCCCGGGGGGACTCAACCAAAGCCAGTCGACCTCGCCCTCACACAGTGTGCGGTCCACCTCGTGGTCGAAAACGCCAATGTGTGACGGGGCACCCACCGGTTCCAACATGGCCCAGCCTCGGCGCCGATAAGTACAGGTGATGCCCCCGACAACCGCGAACAATTCCCAGCCTACTGGTGCCCTGGCTGCAGTGATCCCGTAGCGCTCCATCCAAGGCCTGGGCGTGCTAGGCGCGGGGAGAGGCCGAAAACGAGAGGGCCAGTCCGCTAAGTTTGCCAGGGTCTCGACCCACAGCAGGGCCAGGCTCACCCGGCCAAAGGCCAGGAACGGGAGCATGGACCTGAGGATGCCATTTAATCGGAAAGAGCTGGAGCGACCTTTGCTGACCGCACCGACCACCACCATAGAATCATTCAGGGCGATCTGCACAGAATCCAAGTTGTCTGGGTTGCTGGCAAACCGGACGACCTCCCGCTTCAGCGCACGCCCCTCCTGCAGATTGATGTGGTGTGTGTTCCGGAAAGAATACGACCCGCAAACCTGCCAATTGAGACATGGAGAGATGCTGGCGGCAAACCTGGACGTCTCCAGCGGCGGGGCCTCCAGCACATGCTCGGAACCAGGGTCCAGCCTCACAGCCGCACCCTTGATTTCGGACCGGCGCCACAGCTCCGAGGCCAGAGCCGGGGCGATCTTCGCCCGCACCGCTCCTCCTGAAGTAGGTGTAGCGTCTGTAGCGAGCAATGAAGAGGAAATGTGCGACCGCATGTTCCAAGAAGCCAGCGGGAGATGCAGAGCAACAGCACGAAGTTCATCAGCAATGTACCCTGGTAGCCGTACGACTTTCTGAGGTTCAAGCTTGGCAACATAGACATAAAAGTGGTGCAGCAAACTGAAGAGTTCCCGCCTGAATTGGAACACGAACGCCACGAATCCACCCAGCTTCTCGAGCGCCTCCTTGGAGGCCCGACCTGAAGCCAGCAGCTGGGCGATCAATTTCCACAGTTGCCGTCTCACTTCAAGAGGGGCCCCCACGCGTCCCTTGATCCCGTCGACCTCCGCGCCCCAAGCTTTGAAGAGCGCCTTGGCACGGAACGATTTTTGCAATGCTCGGGGCAACCTTGCGTTCTCATACGCCACCTCGGCTTTCTTGGCCTGCACCATGTCGCGGTCCCCGTCCTGCGGCTCGGGAGGCACAAAGCTACCGTCTAGCGGGATTTCGTAGGGCATCGCAACCTTCAGGGTGATGAGCAGGTCGTCTAGGTAGATGCCTTCCCAGAGGTCACTGGTAGGCACGGGCTGTCCATAGACTAACTTGTGCTCGGCCTTGAGAAGGCCGTGGCGCATCAAGATGCTCTCGTGAGTCGCCTGCGCGATCGAGCAGGCGTTCTTATCACCCATCCCCAGGACCCGAAAGCAGAGCCGATAATCCTGAGCAACGTCGCCACCGAACTCCCGCACAACCTCCTTGGCCACACGACGGCCCACTGGATTGAAGCGAACCCAGCCAGCCGGAAGTTTCAGCATGTAGTAAAAATTCTTAAGGTCATCCCCCGAACCACGCACGAACTCATGGGGTTCCAAAAGCATTCTCACAAAGCATGCTCCCGAGGGCAGAGCTTCCCAGCCGAGGTGCGGCATCGTCCGATTCTCCGGCCTCCTGTCGTAAATCAGCCGGTCGTGCTGCTGATCTTTTCCGACACAGAACAAACCCCCGCAAAGCAAGTCACCAGCCGAAGTTCGAGGCAAGTCCCGTTCAAGAACAAGTTGCGCCATGCCTGTGGTGAGCAGCTTCCTCGCCAAGGCCGCCTCGTGCTCCTGTGGCACCCGGTGGCAGGCGATAACTACTTCACCCCATGCGGCTTCAGGAAGCCGCAGCTCCTCCAAATTTTCCACCACCGCCGCCTGGCCCGGAGGAAGCCAGTCCAGCGGATCCACCATGCCGGCCGTCTCTGGCACAGCCACCCTCTCGGCAGCCACAGGTAGAGCGCCGGCAGGAGCAGGAACCTGGCCCACTCCATAGCTTGCAAAGTTGAGTCTGAGCATCTCCTCCAAGACAGACCTTTTGCCTGAACAAGCAAGAGACCCGAAAACCAACTCAACAGAAGCGAATTCAACCACCTCGCCGAGCAACTTCTCAGAGTACTGCTGCACATCCCCTCTGTGAAAAACTCGCGGCTCCAAAGCGGGGCTCCCCAACTCGGGGCAGCCAAGCACCACAAAGTTGCCCCAGGCCACAAACGTGTTCACGAAAGCCTTGGCCCACCAAAGTAGAGCTTGCTCGTCCCCTGCGACCTCCTCGACAAAAGAGGCCTCCGGGAAAGGGAGCACCGCAGGGAAAAGTGGCACGTCGTTGCCGGTCCGTACCGGCAAGGTACCTTGGATGTCCTCAAACCACAAAAGATACTTGAGAAACTTTGAATTCGGTCCTCCCAGGGCTGGGTGCTTGAAGCAGCGCCCCGGTGTCGCATGCAATCGCTTGGGTTTCACTTGCGGCTCGCGGCCGCTGGCTCCTCCTCGTCCTCGCCGGCGGTGCTGGCGTTGGCTTCCTTGACCTTCTTGCGCAAGCTGGCCAGGGCCTCCACGTAACCCGAGATCACCGACATCTCCTCCCGGGTCCCCGCAAAGTCCCGCTTCTGCATCGGATCCACCAGGCCGGTGAGGAGCCAGGCAGAAGCCCAGTCTCCCCCCTGCAAGACCGATTGCAGTTTGGCTTTCATGTTCTGAACCAGCTGCGCTGCCGCCACTTCGTGGTTCCCCATCCTTATCTGCTCGTAGGCTGCCACATCCATCATTGCACATCTGTAGATCCCCTTGAATTTTCCCCACGGCTGCTTGCGCATGTAGTCCCGGAGCGTCCAGCTTTGGCCCGGCACGATGCCGAGTTCTTCCCGGATCTCCTTCTCGTAGGTCAAGTAGATCTTGCGAGGGTTCTTCTGAATGCGATCGTGAAGCTTGTGCAAGGTGCTGACCGCTCTCAGTCCTTTGCTGTGTGCCTTGTGGTCGCCGTCGGAATCGTCGGAGGAGGAACCACCAAGGAGGCTGCTGCCCTCGCCCCGATCGCCTCGGCCGCGGCGACTGCGCTGGCGATCGTCTCCCAACATGGCCATCATGGCGAGAGGCAGGAGGTCCGAAGCATTCTGACCCCCGGCCAGAGCCTTCACAATCTCCCTCTTGAGGTCCACTTCCGGCTCCTTTGTGGCACGGCGCGGCTTTTCCTTCTTTGCAGAAGCTCCTGGGCGGAGGAACTCCTTCTCGGCTAAGTTGTCGTCCTCCTCCTCGTCCTCGGTGTCGTCGTCCTCTTCGTCCTCGTTGGCTCGGCTGCTCCGTCGCCCCTGGAAAAGATGCTTTAAGGACCCCAGCTCTTCTTCGATCCGCGTCCTGCTCCGGGCCGGCCGGCTGTGTGCCGGAGCTTCGGCCCCACTGCTTCCCAAGTCCCGGTCGGCTACCTTGACCCAAGCAGCTGAACAGTTGCTCCATGAAGGCAAGTCCTTGCTTCGAGCACCTTTCCAAGAAGAGGGCCGGGAGGAAAGGAGAGCTTCCCGGCTGACTTTGATAAAACCAATATCGTCACCGCCTGCTTTGCCGCTGGTTTTGCTCTCGACCGCTCCGATGCTCGAAGGCACCGTAGCTAAGCAGGCTTCCGAGTCAGTTAAATGCACAATCCAGCCGCTCACTTGCACATGACCGCTGGTCCCATGGCATACAACGTGAGCTACCTCTCCTACCTCCATCTTAAAAACCCTAAACGACTTGAGAAGGAAAGATTGCCAGGGCTCGCACATCGGACTCACTCAGCAGATCGGCTTCTGTGCGAACGTCCTGACAGGAATCTGCATGGCAACCCTGAGCCCTAAACCCTAAACCCTAACCCTAAAAGCCCCTAAAAGAAACCCTGAAGCCTCTCAGAGGCAGGCGGCCTCATCCAGGCCGTCCATGCGAGGTCTCAGGCTCGGTGGGCCCTGAAAGTCCTGACCCAGTTTGCTCGCCGGGCGCTTTAGAGTAGGGGGTTTTGGGGTTCAGGGTTTTTAGGGTTTGAGGGTTTTTAGGGCCTTTAGGGTTTAGGTTTTTGTTGGGCTTTTTGGGTTTAGGGTTTTAGAGTTTAGGGGCTTTGGGGCTTTGGGGCCGAGGGGGCCCTGACATGAAGCTCCGAACTGGACATCATAGGGATCCTTAGGGGTGTAGGGGGGAGGGGTTTAGGGTTTAGGGTTTAGGGTGTAGGGTTTAGGGTTTAGGGTTTAGGGGTGTAGGGGACTATATTTCCTTAAATAGGCCTTATTAGTCCTTATTATGGGCCTTAAGGCCCCCTACCCCCCCTCCCCCTACACCCCTAAGGATCCCTATGAAGACAGCCACCACATGACGTCGATACCGCAGGTAGAAGCGTATGTCCACTTTAAGAAGGACCTCGGGTGCATACTACGGATTCATGTCCTACGAAACATGATACAGATCTTCAAGCCCCAAAACCGAAACCTCTGAACCCCTGTGAAGTCCATCATGTGCAGGTAGAGGTGGATGGGGTCGTGCTTCTTGCGCTCGAATGGGGAGCTCACGGCCAGACTCCTGCCGGTGAGGCTTTAATATAATATACCAAAATACAATATGAAATAGCTAGTTAGTTGTTTAACCTATTGTAAAAAATATTTCATAAACAAACATACCCCACCCCGGCATTGGCCACTCCAGCCGGCCCCAAATGAAGGGATACAAAGAGCGACCAGTGTCGAAATCCCCGGCTTGCTCCACGCAACCAACGGATGGAAACGAAACGCTGATCAGATTAACCAGAACCCCTGCAATAAACTGTTTGGGAAATGAACAAGAACCTCCTGTTTTTGCAGCTTCTCCTTCTTACCCATATGCCCTAGGCACGTTCGAGACGCCTTGCTCCTGTCTGTCAGCTTTCATTGTCAATTGTCTTGTTCGAGAATCTTGCAACCCTCTCTCTCCAGCTCTCTCGTCTCCAGCGACGGCCCTTCCACATCGCATCCTAATCAAACTAAAAAACTCTATCGAGCGCCTGTTTCTTAGATTTGCTAGTCCCTTCGTCTGGTTTGCTTGTCTTCTCAAGTCTCGTCGTTGTCAAGGCTTCGCTAGTCTCGTTCCAGTGGGCTGCTCCTGATTCCAAAGCTCGCACATTCTTGTCGACTGGTATTCGACTGGAAAACCTCCTCCTCCTCGTCAAATGTTCGATGCACGCTTCCGGTGGTGACTCGTGCTTCTCACATTATCGAATCCCTTTCGACAGGTTTGCTCCTTTTCCTCCAAAATGCCTAGTATTTGTCTTTGTCTGTACTCCCTTTCGTGCATCTTCAGCCACCATCTCAATTCCTTTAGCTCCTTCTGTCTCTCAGCATTTGCTCCTTTGACTAGCTTGGTCCTTTTAACAACTCTCCTTTCAGCCGTACTTTGCTTCTGTTTGTCTGTTCAATCCCTTCCGTCTTCGATGCTCCTTCATCTCAATTTCTCCCTCGTCAAATCCTCGAATCCCTTTCGAGCGGTTTGCTCCTCTTCCTCTTCCAACTTTCGCAAGTTCTCTAGACTCTCTCACACGGTTTTCCTCCTCTCAAGATTGCTCGTACCCGTCGAAGCGCTTTGCTCCTTCGCCTCAAAATCCCTAGTCCCTTTCGAACGGTTCCACCTTTTGTTTCAGGAACTCTCTAATCTGTTTCGAGCGGCTGGCACCTCCTTATCAAGCAGTATAGCTGTTGCTCGCGCAGTTCGGTCTATATTCTCAAACTTGTTAATCCCTTTCGACCGGCTTGCTCTTCAAGTTCAATTGCCCCTCTTCGTCAACCTTGTCAGATTGTTCATTATCGTTCGGCCGGTGTGCTAGTGTGGATTCAATTTCTCCTCTTTCTCTCACAGTCTAGTTTGCTTCGGTTGGCGACCTCCGGCTACCTCCTTTTCTTTATGTTCCTCAAACTGTATAACTCTCTTCGACTGGTTTGTCCTTCACTCTCGAATTTTCCTTTGGGTCGAATTCAAAAGGTCCTTTCGAGCGATTTGCGTCTGTTTCTCAAATTCCCGGTCCCGAATCGACAGGTTTGTCTTCGTTCTCAAAGTCTCCTCGCTGTCAAACCTCTCGAGCGCGTTGCCCCTCTTGGTCAAGTCCTCTAGTCTTGTTCGAGCATTTTGCTCCCTAGTCCACAGGTTTTTGCTTCGAACTGTTTGCTACTTTTGCTCCAAACTTCTTGTCCTCTTTGTCAAGTTTTCTAAACTCTGCCGAGCAGCTTGCTCCTGTCTTTCAAAGCTCCCAATCCTTTTCCACCATGCTGCCCCCCGGTTCTAACATTCCTTCTTTCCAAAATGTCTATCCAATCGTGCTCTTTATCCAGTTCTCCGCTTTGTCAAATTCTCTAATCTATTTCAGGCGGTGCTGTTCCTGTCTCTCAAATTTCTCGTCCGCTTAGGCTGGTTTGCTCCATCTCTATGTTATCGAGCGGCCTACTGCTGTTTCTCATGTTCGACTTTTCGACTGCATGCTCCTTTTGGCGAGTGCGAAAAACCGTCTCTTTCGAGCGCGGTGCTTCGGTTTGCCACATGTTCTACAACGTTTCGACTCGTTTGCTCCTGTTTCTCGAATTCCCCAGTTGTTTTCCAGCACTTCGCTCCTGTTTCCGAAGTTTGCTATTCCCTACCGACTGGGTTGCTCGCGTTTCTTGTGACATTTCTCAAAGTCTCCTCTTCTCCTCTCGTTCTAGAGCTTTGTTCCTTCTCTGTTGTCTTGATCCCTTTTGACGGGCTCGCTCCTTTTGTAAGATTTGCTTGTCTCGCCCAACCGGTTTGCTCATCGCTCTCATGTTCTCCCGTCTCTGTCGAGGGGTTGCCTTGTGTGTCCAAAACTTTGTTAGTTATTCCTGTTAGGTAGTTTGCCACTCTTCTCAATTTGTCTTCTCTGTCTATTTTCGCTCTCGCTCTCGAATCGTTTGCTCCAGCTTCTCCTTTTGATTAGCTTGCTCCTATTCCACGATTTCTTCTGTTTGTCACAGTCTCACAGTTCCTTCCAGCTTCTGTTTCTCAAATCTTCTAGCCGCTTTTGACTGTCTTGTTGTCCGCGTGCCCAAAACCCCTTAACACTAAACCCTCAACTTGACGCAGCTAAAAAACAAACACCCCAAGTTTCCAAAGCCCCAACCACGAAATCATGAGCCTGGAGAGGAGGTGCTTCCTCGACTCGCCCGGAAGCCGCAGCATCAAGCCCGGCAACACCTCGCTTGCCCGTCTCACTTAGGGTTTAGGATATAGAGTTGCTGTTTAGGGTTCGACCCCTTCTGCGCATAGGTATATCCAGAAGTGCAAGCATAAGTATGTATGTGTGGATCACCTAGGTTCACGTGGATACAGGTTCTTGCAGACAAAGACAATCTGTACCCAGAACTGCATTCATATATGCAGTGACAGATACAGATAGATGGACATCAGGCTTGCCATGGATACAGGAACAGAAACAGATGTAGAGATTTGTGCGAACAAACGAACACTCGGCCGCAAGCCCACCAGCAGCTACTCCCCAATTGCCCTGCAGAAGCCCGGCCCCGTTCCGCGTGCCTGCTTCTCTGCCTGAGGCATGGGGTGCTAGGCTTTCAGGAAGGTGTGGGCTTGGGCCCAAGGGGCCCCCGGCCCCGACCCCGCCGGGCCTCTTCGCCCTGGGCTTGGGCCTTCCGGACGCCTCGCGCGTAGCCGCGCAGGGCCGCTTCAAGTCCGGCCCAGTCCAGCGGCCGGGCGAAGCGCTTCAGGGTGGGCATGCCCATCCGCACCTCCAGAGATGGAAAATGCGAGCGTAGCGCCACGACTACAGCAGCTTGCGCCTTGGAGTCGTCGGTCCTGCGAACCTCAGACTTCACATGCACAAGCAGAGCCGAACCAAGCCGAAGAACCCAAGAACCGAGAAGACGAGTGACGAAGCGCATGTGGGCTTCTTCGATGTCCATGAGCTCCGTGCTGGTGTTCAGCAGCAGCGTCATCTCCTCCAGCTCCTCGTAGCATTCCACGTGGGTGTCCTCGGACGTGCTATGATACTATGCACACCCTGCAAGCGAACCTTGAACCCCAACCCCTGCAGTAAAATAGCTCGCGAACGACACGTCATCGAAGATCCATGGATCTAGCCTGGCCGCTGTACTTGCCGCAGATGCTGGAGCGCTGGCAGCCGGACGCCTGCTCTCCCAAACCTTACTGTACACTCGCGGACACAAAAAGCGGTAACTGTCCCGAGCTGTTGATGTTCTCTAAACCAGATTGAAATAACTTGTTGGAGATTCACGGGGGTAACTGCACCTGCACCCCCGACCTCCAAGCCCACACAGTCCCCACTTGACCTTATACTCCAGAGCAACCTGGAGTTTCGGATTTTGGGCTTCCTGCCAAAAACATGACCGCCAACAAGAACCACAAGCCAAGCTCAAACTCTGCTGCAATATTAATATGTATTTCTATTATACATACTAGTTTTCTGATTGTTGGTATTTCTGATATTAATTAACATTGGTGTTATTATGACTGAGTCCTCTCGAACAGCCAAGGCTCGTTCTGGGTCGACGGCTCTGCCTCCGGTTCAGGAAGTGACTTTGTGAAAAGCCTCTAACAGTTGAGGGGTTCGGCTCCTTGAAGGGATCTGTAAGGTATAAGTGTGTGTGTGTGTATGCATATGTACATATATATACATATATACATACATACATACATACATTACATTACATTACATTACATTACATACATACATATATACATACATACATACATTCATTGCACATACATATATATATATATATACAGATAGATAGAGGGAGAGGTATATCAATACATACATACATACATATATAGATATTTATCCCCTTGAACCTAACATTAGGGCTCCTTTGCAGCTTTTTGTCGCTTCGGATCCGATCCGAGGCTTGCTGGAAAGACTCAGGGACTAGGCCTACGTAATGTAGGGGCCCTCATAGCTTACCTTTGAAGGGGTTTTGTAGGGTTACTATAAGGGTTCCCATAAGGGTTACTATAGGTTTTTAGGATTTTGGGTTTAGGGTTAGTAGGGAATGGAAGAATGGTAGTAATTGTAGTTATACAGTTATACCCCATTCCTGCATTCCCTACTAACCAAAGGTAAGATGATTAGAGTCGGCTTCCCGGTTCCTTGAAAGGGGTCTGTCAAGGATTCCATAGAACTCATCGCTAGTAGGGTTCTATAGTATCGGGGCCTTAAGAGTCAGAGTTTGGTTTCAGGGAAAATTCTTCTAGTATGCCATCATTATAGTGAGGAGCCCTACGGACGATGCTTGGTATTTATTTGGGAGTCTCCGAGTGCAGGCGGACCCTGAACCCCCAGAAAACTCCAAAGGCTTCGCACCCTGAACTCTGAACCTCCAAACCCCTACGACAAAACTACACCCTGAAGCCTGAAAGGCCGTAAACCTTAAGCAGACAGAGGCGCCTCTGGATGCAACCTTGCATGGACATCCTCCGTAAGGGCGAGCCTTGGCTGGGTTTGGGGTTTAGGGTTTAGGGCCTAGTGCGGGTTTGGGGCTTTGGGGGTTGGTTTAGGAACTTTAGGGACGTGGGACGTTCCAAGGGATCGGGTTTTAGGCATCGGTCCTTCAGGCGGATGTCGAGGTTTCAGATGAAACTTCCTGATAAAGGCGTCGGTTTTTGGCAGGGAACTTAAGCAGGTAGAGTAGGAAAAGGGAAAATATTTCGGACCATGAGGTGAACAGTGTTACCAGGAAGTTCTGATCCCTCTAGTAAGACTCTTTGGAAAAAGAGTGTCAGAGTTCGCAAACAGTGATCTGCCCCCCCCAAAAGCGCCAGGTTGCAGATGGTGGATGGTATTCAGGCCGTAGAGACTGCGCGAAAGCGGAACGTGGAACATGTCCACAGAGACGATTTCTTGTGAAGCAGTCTTCAGAGGTACACGCAAGCATCCCGGCGTGGCCTGCTTGGAGATTTCATGGGTAGTTAGAAGCAGGGTTATAAGTAGGGTAACTATACTTTTAACCCATATTAGGGAACTTATAACCCTTCTTATAATTACCCATGAACCTCCAAGTGCTTCGGCTCTGCGGCAGCTCTTGCCAGGAAGCTATCGAAAGCTTCCCTCGCCTTGTCATCGACGATAAGCTCCCGAAAGCAGTGTCCGGCAAAGTCCTCTCTGCTTGACAAGAGCCGTTGCAGGCACGGCGCTTTGCCGCAGATCTGGAAGTCCCCGTCCAGTAGCAGCTCTCCGTCACAGATCCCCTTCAGCATCTGCCGAAAGCCCTGAATCAAGGAGTCCGAGTCTTGCGATTGGAAAGATGCTTCGATGCATTCCCGCAAGGTCAGCTCCAGCAAGAAAGGGATCATGTTACACACAAAGACCTGCAAGGACACGTGGGACACAAGCAACCAAATGTCCACGGCGCTGTGGCCATGTACCTGTGCTGTGGCCCAGATGTATAGGGCAGTGTGGAGCACCGAACTGGAGACGGTTGCTGCATTTGCCGAGAAAAGCATTGAATGAAGAACCTGCGATGCCATAATGACCCCGATCTGGCCCAAGAAGGTATCTTTTGATCCGTGGCTGATGGCGAAAATAGCTGCGGCGTGGACCAGTATGAGAGCCATGCGTACTGCATGCAGACGCCGAGGTGTCAAAGCCAGCCGCTTGCCTACCAGGGAGCTGTAGGCGACGTAGACCACCGATAAGCAGAAAAGCCAAATCCCAGAACACAAACCCGGCTCGCACATGAACTCCACTGCAGACTTCAAGAGCAAAACCATCACGACGTGGATGCAAGCGCAAAGAAACATCGTGCACATCTTCACCCGCACCCTTCCGAGCTCCTCCAGACGGAAAAACCCAAAACACTTCCAGGGTCTCAGGCCGCTGGGGCTTCGGCACCCACATCTTCAAAAGCCCAGGTGCATATCCCCTTTCGGACTTAGACATCTCTTGTTTGGAGCTGGGGGTCTGGGATTTAGGGCCCTGGGAGGTTTCGCGAGGTCCATTACAATAGAAACATAAGAAGGAACCCCCAAAAAATGGTATAGGCAATTATTATAGGGCCCCTATAGTACTGGGTTGGACCTGATCACTGCCCTGCTGGATCCTCTCCTTCCGCGATGATTACGGGGCTCCACACCTCAAGCTCACTGAAAAGGGGCATCCAACACCCCTGAAAGACGGCAACCCTGGGCCTCAAAACCTACACCCCCAAAACTCCCCAAAACCCAGCAGACTAAGAAGACCCTCAGGTAAACCCCATGAGAACCAACTCAACATGCCGAGCTTGAATAGAGCCTCTCCTCTTTCCAACCCCTCACCTCTGAAGCCCGTCTATACTAGAATACTAGTAGTAAACCCTCAACCCTAGGCCTCACTGGGAGTCTCCTCTTGGACCCTGAACCCCAAGCCCTGAACCTCCCAGCAGTCACCAGCAGTCTCCTCTTCAACAGGGTTTTGGGGCCATTCCACTACACTTATAGTTAGGAAGCCCCCCCAGAAAAAAAAAAAAAAGGAGTATGGGTAGCTATGTAGGCCCCTATAAGGAAACCCCCCACCAAAAAAAAAGAGTATGGGTAGTTGTGTAGGAGTACAGGGAACTCCAGAAAGTTGGAATATGGTTTCAGGGTAGGATACCCTATAATTTACCATAGGAGGGTTAGGATAACCATATTCCAACTTTCTGGCTTTTACTGTAGGAGTCTCCTCTTCCACCCGAAGGGCCGCCGGGTTCGGCTTGCCTTTCGGGCCAAAGCTGCAAAGCGAGAGCCAGGTCACCACTTGTCCCTGGGCCGCCGGCAGGGCTTTAGGGCTTGAGGGGGGCGCCTTTCTAAGGGCTTTAGGAGTTTAGGGGCACAAGGCGTTTAAGGGCTTGGGGTTTAAGGGTTTCCAGAATCTAGAACCCCGCAAATCCACGATACAAAAGGAGTCTGAATGCCACTGTGGGCATTCTATACGGGTTTTCGTCCACATGGGCTTTACACCCGGTCTACTAGAGCTTACAGGAGATTTACCCTTCTCAGTTCTGTAAGTGTTTACGTGCTCTGTCCCCCAAAAAAATTGTCTTTCAGGGAACTACACAGATTCGATTCAAAATTGTGGAAGGGCTGCGTAAGGGTTCTGTATAAGGGCTCTATTCAGAGTTCTGTCGGGCTTCTGCAAGAGTTGTAGGCCTTCTGGTCAGAAGACTTCTGTACTCGTCAGGAGTTCTACAAATGAATGGTTGTCAAAATGATGGTCCTTTTTGGAATCCCTATCATAATACGGCACCTCTTATTTAGGGTACCCCAAAGAAGGGGACCACAAATGTGACAACCACCCAAAGTCTTCAACAAAGTCTCTTGTTTTTGCGGCTTTTCTTGGCTCAAGGGCTCAGGCTCCGAGCTTTCGAGCTCCGAGGGTGGAGATACTTGTTTAGGGTTGAGGGTTTGGGGGTTTAGGTGGTATTAGGGGTTTTGGGTTTAGGTGGTATTAGGACTTAGTGTTTAGGGCTTAGGGTTTAGGGTATAGGGATTTAGGGTTCAGGGTTTGGGAGTTTAGGGTTTAGGGGGCCACCATCCTAAGCCCGGAAGCTCCGGGTTTGGAAAAGGAGTGCTTTGGGCTTAGCATGTGAGGGTGTTCAGGGTTTAGTGTATCTTGAATTTCCGCGGCGTGCGATTAAACCCGAACAACTGAAGGAGGTCGAGAGGTGAAGCAAGCTACAGCTGTTCATCCAGACCTGAATACCCCTTTCATTCGGGGGCATTGTGCCGCTATGCAGCCTTTATCCTGAATCCTGAATCCTAAAAGCCCTGAACCCCAACCCTTAAACCCCAGACCCGGAGCCCTGGAACCCTATACATCCTAAACAGTATACCTTGAACCCTCAACCCTAAACAGAAGCACAGCTCAGCCGCTTTCGTGAGATGCCAGTGCCAAGCGAAGAGCGCAAGAGCAGCAGCAGAAATGAAAAAGCCCCTTGGGGCGTCCATGGCTTCAGGGTGTAGGAGTTAGGGTTTCAGGGTTTAGGGGTTCAGGGTTTAAGTTTAAGGGTTTCCACCAAGTCCACAATTAATACCTCAAGGTTGAGAGGGTTTAAGGTTTATGGCTTACGGGGAGCCCCATTTGAAGGCTTCAGGCTGAGGAGACTACAATATCCCTGAACTTGCAAACGCTCCTTTCTGGAAGGAACTCAAGCAAGAAGGAGAATCCGTCTGCAATAGATCCCTGAAGTGAGTATCCGTCCTAGAAGGAACCGAACTCTAAGGAGAACCTTCCGAAGTCAGAAGGATCTGCTCCGTCGGAGGCTCCTGAAGCCAACTGCAGCAAGATACTATCTGCTCTCTACCCTGCTACAACATTGCGCAGACCACCCCAAACCCATGAAACCCGAAAAAGTTGCACTTTAAGGCTGTCTTTCTGCTTTCAAAGTGTCTCGGATGGCAATCGGAACACGGGGCAGAGCTGAAAAGGAATTCCGCAACAAATTTAAACGAAGCAACACCATATCACGATTTCGCCCTTTGTGTTCCTTGGGTGTCACGGCTCCTGCCGAAATCACCCAACCGAGAGGACACCATACAACAAAAGTAAAAGAGAAGCAGCACGCCGAGTCGTATTGTGGCAAGTATCCATACGTGCACGATGTTGATCCTCTATCCAGCCATCTCTTTGTCTCCGTGCTGGGTGCAAGCTCAAGACTCATTGTGCGTGCCACTTCTTCCTACGAAGAGCCCATACCGGGCTCGCAGACATCAAAGGCTCACGCGCTTCTAAATATCAACCGCACTTGCAGAGCGGATCTCGGAGCTTGTGCCAATCAGTCTCTGCATTGCTGACTCAAGGCGTGCACTTGGCAAACTTTGCACCCTTGTCCCGTGTGGCCTTATAGCAATTAACCTAAGCCCTGAACCCTTATAGAACGCTAAACCCTGATAAAACCCAACCCTTATGGTAGCCTCAAACCCTGAACCCTTATAGAACCCTAAACCCTAAACCCTGATGGAACCCAACCCTTAGCCAAGCCCTTCACAACGGTCGGCGTCCGACCCTGCAGGAGCCTATATAGTTATAGTATAATATACCCCCAAACCCTCTTCTAATCATTAAGGCCCCTACATTATAGTAGCAAGTTTCACTTTGCTCGCCTTGCGTCGTCGCTTCGAAGCCTTCGCCGGCGCCTCCGCACAGCTCAAGTTTAGGGTTTAGGGTAAAGGGTTTAGGGTTTAGGATTTAGGGTAAAGGGTTTAGGGTTTAAGGTTTAGGATTTAGGGTTTAGGGTTTAGGGTAAAGGGTTTAGGGTAAAGGGTTGGTTTACGGCCTAGGGTTTAGGGTTTAAGGCTAAGGCTTCAGGACGATGCTTCTACACAAATGTCCCCAGGTGGTCATCCTTCGTTAAAGCTGCGTTCCTGAATGACGAGTGGCGGAGTCCCTGCATCACTTTCGTTGGGGCTGGGGCTCAGAGTTACCCTAAAACCCCTACACCCTCAACCCTAAATCCTAAACCCTAAATCCTAAATCCTAAACCCTAAACCCTTTCTGAAAGAATCTTCGGGCTTACTGCAAGGGCTCAGGGGCTCAAAGGTTCAGGGTTCCGGCGAAGCTAGAAGATGCCTCAAGACTAGAATGACTGCAGGTCTCGGACCTTCGACCACACAAGCAGGGAGTGCAAGTTTGGGACAATCAAGCACCGTGACGAAAGCCCCTACAATTCTTGTCAGGATCCCTGACTGAGGTCCCGCTTATTGCAAGAATCCCCCAAGCTCTTCGGCCACAGGACCAGAATCTGTCCACTGGGGAGATTGGGATGGTGATGTGGAGATTTGCATTAAGTCAAACACATGGCCCCAACTTGTAACTCCCATATTACACACCCTGCACACGTAACCTGAAATTCTGAATCCCTATCTTCAAAACCCAAGGCACCAACCTCTGAAGCTTTACAGAACCCTCTGAAACCCTACGAAACCCCTCTGAAACCCTACAAAATCCCTCTGAAACCCTACGAAACCCCCTGAAACCCTACGAAACCCCTCTGAAACCCTACGAAACCCCTCTGAAACCCGAACCAATCCTAGAAAAACCCCACTGGGCGGCCTCCGAAGCTCCGGTAGCCAGTTCGAAGGCCTCGAGAGTGTGCTAGAAGGGCTCCTTTAGGGGTTCCTTTAAAGGGCTCTCAGGGTACTGGTACTACAAGGGTACTATAGGGGTTTAGGGGTTTAGGGGTTTAGAGGTTTAGGGGTTTAGGGTTTCAAGGGTTTAGGGGTTTAGGGTGGTTTAGGGTTTAGGGGTTTAGGGGGTTTGGGGGTTTAGGGTTAAGGGTTTAGGGTTTAAGGTTTAAGGGTTTTGGGGTTTAGGGGGTTTCGGGCTTTGGGTTCAGGGGTTTAGGGGTTCCGAAAGGGCTCTGGAAGCCGTTCTGTGAGGCCTCCACAAAGGGGCTCCAAGGAGAATCTGGAAGGGCTTTTGGGGTCTAAAGGCTTAGCGTGTAAGGATTTCTTGGCGTAAGGGCTTTAGGGATTAAGCTGTCCCAGGGTTTGATTTTGAGTGTCTCGCAAGCATTTATGGAGGGTCTGACACAGGCTTTGATGGGTTCCTACTAGGGTAACTTAGTTCTAGGTTCCGTAGCAAGAGCTCTACAAGCATGTTGAAACGACTTTATAGTAGGCTTATACAATTCGGGTTTATCTTGGTACAAGCTCGATATAGATATGGAAACAGAAAAAGATACGGATGCAGATTCGACATACGGATGTAGGTACAGATACAGATATAAGTACAGAATTGGGTACATATATGTATATAGATACAAGCATAAGTATAGATCCAGAGACAGACTTAGACTTAGATTTAGGTACGGATACGAGTATATATACAGCTTACAGAGAGAGAGAGAGAGAGACATAGAAATAGACACAAATATAGATGTATATATCAAGATAAATTCCCACATGGATATAGATACAGACATAGATATAGATACAAATATGGATGCAGATACAGATAAAGACATACATATAAGTACAGATATAGATGTGGATGTCCATGTAGATATAGGTATAGGCACAGATATAGATGCAGTTAACGCTGTCGATACGGAGACAGATGCTGATGTGTAACATGGTATCTTACTTATGCTGTCTTGAACCGTTGTTCCTAACTAAAGCCAGACAACTCAAGCAGTCGCCAGCAAAGCGACTATATCCAGGGGGAATTTAGGGTTCAGCGATTTAAGGTTGGCATGGAATTGAAAGTTAAGGGTTCACGGCTCGGCGGCCACAAAAACCCCTCAAAACTGCATGCCCGCGGCCGTGCTGGGAAACATGAAAGATACCGCACACACTCGACTGACATACATTTTAACATGCTGCATACTCCAAAAGCATATGTTATACACATATATGTAATCTTAACTTCTTCATACACCGATGTAATAGTTGGATTGTTCATACGTACATACATACATACAGAACCTAGGTGTGTGCCAACAAATAATTTGATGTCCATCAATTGAATTGTGTACTTGCATGTAATTCACTGTCTGCCTGCTTGTTTGTTCACTGGCCTAATTCAGACCAATGAAACTCCATCAACCTATCTATGGTTCTTTCCATCTGTTTGGTTGGTTGGTTGGCTATGTGTGTTTTTGTGTCTCTGTTGGTTGCGTGTGTGTGTTTTGCTGGTTGTTTGGTTGCTTGGTTGCTTGGTTGCTGGGTTGCTGGGTTGCTTGGTTGCTTGGTTGCTTGGTTGCTTGGTTGCTCGGTTGCTTGGTTGCTCGGTTGTTTGGTTGCTTGGTCGTGCGCTTGTTTGTTTTTTTTGCTTGTTTGTACACCTGTCCGTCTGTTGGCTTGCTTGCATGCCTGCTTGGTTGGTTGCTTGGCGGGTTGCTTGGTGGTATCTTGCGTGGGTGTGTCTGTGTGTTTGATTGCTCGTTTGCTTGTTTGCTTTGGCTCGTCCGCTCGTTCATTGGTTGGTTTGTTTTTTGGTGTGTTTGTTCGTTTGTTTGCTTGCTTGCTTGTTTGCTGGTGTGTTTGGCTGCTGCTTGCTTACTTGCTTGTTGTTTGCTTGTGTTATTGCTTGCTTGATTGCTTGCTTGCATGCTGGCTTGCGTGCTTGCTTGCGTGCTTGCTTGCTTGCTTGCTTGCTTGCTTGCTTGCGTGTGTGCTTGCTTGCTTGCTTGCTTGCTTGCTTTCTCGCTGGCTTGCTTGCTCGCTTGCTCGCTGGCTTGCTGGGTTCTTCGGTAGACAACGATTTCGCGCATCAAAACCCCGGATTCGAGCACCAAAACCCCTGCTTCAGGCACCAACCCTTTTCAGGCACCAACAAGCCCTGGTTCCGCCACCACGTCAGCACCACCGAACGCACAGAGCAATGTTTTCTTTTCTGCGGCACGATGGTGTCGGCGACCAAGTGGCCTGCTCGGATGTGGCAAACAGTTTTGGTCCTGGGCAGGCCTCGATAGAGTTGGGCAGGGTAGGGCAGTAGGGCAGGCTGGGGCAGGGCAGGGCCGGGCAGGGTACAGACTGCAATGTCCAGCGTCTCCTTGTTTTTTTGCATGGCATACGCTCCCTATGAATGAATCTCTAGCAATGTCGTTTTCCTCCTTGCACTGCTTCAGTGCAAGAAACGCCGAACCGTTTCCAAAGCTCTCGCACGCGACTTCTCGGATGCCGATGCACGGAGCTCACCGATGGCCGACCGCAACGCAGACGTGGCCTTGGGTACCTCAACAATCAAAAGTCGTGAGCAGCCCCGCTTTTCGTGTCCAATCCCAATGCTGCTGGATCACGCACAGCGAGGAGCTTTTGTCCTTCCGCCCCTGCCAGCTGCAAGCGGAGCAGCGCATCCTTGCCGCACAAATCAAAGCGCGGAAACACTCTCTATATATCGCTGGTGACGGAGTCCTGCCGCCGCCCAATGACATCAGCTGCGCCCCATGAGATCGCAAGCTCTTAGCCCACGTCACCACGGCCTGAAAGGCTCACAATTCGGTTACGTGAACCCGTCAAGTCCATGGCTAGAAGCAGTCCTCGTCGGTCATCGCCGGCAAAGCGGCCTTCTTATCCTGTTTCGGCGAGTGTCATCTAAGGCAGTACACCAACGGCCAACGTGAGCACGCTTGAATAGGCCATTCCCGCCATTCCCTACCCTACACAAAATCGTGATGAGTGATGACCCTACCCTGGCTCACGAAAGCTCGATGTCCGAGTTTCCGCCTGCACAAAACGAAAGGCATGCCTCGGCATTCATCACTGTGGAAGCTCTCGTTTCGCAGCCTGTCCAGAAGCGTGCTGAAACCTTTCGGCGCCCTTTCCTTAGCCCTAGCCTACCCTAGCTGAGGTCTAACAATCATGATGAAACTTTTCTGCAATGAATTCTAAGTCATCATTGCTCCCGATCCCATGCTTCGATCCTTGCGATACTCACTCTGAAAAACAATCCCCGAATGCTGTGTTCGCGTAACCAAAAGTCTGGAAAGAGCGAAGCCTGCTTCGGTGTGCTTTTGCGCTGGGTGTCCTTTTCCTCCTCCGTGCTCCTCTTCTTTCCCCTGGGCTCCTGACGTGATGCCCCACCTGCCCTGTATTCAGCAATAATCCATAATCCAGCAGCGACTCTGTGTTTCTTGGGGGTCGGAGTCGAGGAGGTCGAGAACCAAGCCGCCAGGGGCCAAGTTGTGGAACTGGCTTGCCTGGCCATGACATGAAACAATAGGACAGCAATGCTCCAGACCCCACCTTGTTTCTAGTTTGCTGCTCGCTGCTCGTTGCCCTTCCGGTAGGGTGGTGGGGGAGGGGTAGAGCAGGGAGGCGGGAGGGCAGGGTGACCAAAGTCGGTTGTGGTCAACCAGCGGGGTCGGGTGGGGCAAGGTGGTGGGGTACGGGCAAGAGGCCACACAAGTCAAGGGTAGGGTAGAAGGGGAGGGTGGGGTCAGGGGTAGTGGGGGGAGTGTTCTTGGGCAAGGCATAACGCTAGAGTTTGTGTTGCGGATCATCCTGGGCTATCCCATGCTCGGCCCAAGACTCCTCGCAAACGCATCCCGATACGTTTCGTACGGAGTGAGCCTGGTCAGAAACGAAGCTACATGGAGTCACATCCGGAGTCCGTGCATCCAGAGTGTAGCGTGTCCTGACGGGCCGATGTACGGCAGTGCCTGGCGCGGCCGGTGGCGGAAACCGCTGGTCCCACCCGTTGCTCTGCTCCAGCCAGAGACCGGTGCCATGGTACGGTACACGCGGGTCAACCTACCCTTGGACATCCCAGGCTCGGCCCAAGACTCCTGGCAAGCCCATTCGCCGACACAAGTCGTGCGGAGTGAGGATCTGCTCAGAAACAAAGCTGCATGGTCTCAGAGCCGGCGTCCTTGCATCCAAAGTGTAGCGCATCCGGACTGGCCGATATGTAGGAGTCACTGGCAGTCCTTGCCTGGACTCAACCGGGAGCAGTGGAAAAGTAGCAGCAGGGCCAACAGTATCGGCCATAAGTGAAAGGACAATACCATCACCTGCCGAGTCATCCTCGCCACGTCCAGCTGTGTCGTCGACGGCCCTGAGCCCAAAGTCCTGTTCTGGCGCCACGTCGGTGAAGGCTCCAGTGCGGGGGTGTTCCAAGAGCTATCCAACTGCGTGCGGCCGGCACGCTCTTCTCCCTGTGATGGAAACAAAGACGAGGAATCTCGGCCCTGGCTCTCCCACTCCTCCCACTGCGATTGTCCCTGGCCCTCGCTGCCCTCGCTGTCCCACTGCGAAGTGCATTCGCTCTTGTCCCTGTAGTGGGAGAGAGGGGCAGGAATCTCGTCCCTGGCTGGACATGGCTATGTCATTTTCCTAGGATGGGCTAGCGAAGTCTGGACATGTGCACTTATTCAGTAGAATTTGATACGTTGCTCGGACACCCATGCCGACTTGACCTCCTACCGCTGAAACGGAAGATGCCAGCTGAACTGTTGCATGCAGGTTGAGGTAGGATCCAGGCAAAAGATTTGGATAAGACTGCATCTGGGTGAACATGGGTCCAACTATCCGCTCGTCTTTGGTAGAGCGGAAGGATTAAACTAAAAAGCTTATGGGCCAGTAGAGTCGGGTTGCAGGGTAGGGATAGGGCGGTAGGCGGGAAGCGTGTAGGGTAGGGTGGGGCCGGGGAGCAGGTCGGGGCCAGGCCCGTAGGCCAGGACTTGCCTTCTCATTTCTCGTTCCAAAGGTCGGGTTGCGGGGTAGGGTGGGGTAGGGTAGGGTAGGGCCGGGCGGTACCCCCAATCAGCACTTCAGAGTGACAAGAACTCCTCGATGAAACAAACCTAGGAAATCCGGCAATGACCCTCCATCAGCTCGGGCCCTTTTCTTGCAGCCTCCAGAACTGGATTTACAGAGCTCGACAAGCCTAAACCCCGTAAGTCCGACTCATACCCTACAAACCTCAACCCTGGATACCTGAATAGATCAGAACCCTCTAATGTAAATACCAAAAGAGTTAGAACAAGAGTCCGAGGCCTGCTTGCCATGGCGAAAACACGGAATCATAAGGCATCTAAACCCTAAACCCTGGACCCTGAACCCTAAACCCCAAAGCCCTCACCTGTCTGACCCCAAATTCCCGTGCGACTGCGAAGCCACCGGAAAAACGGCCTTGAACCTCCACGGAATGCATCTGAAGTATGGGCTGGTCGGGTTGTAGGGTTGTGGGATTTGGGTTCAGGGTTGGAGCCTATCGTGAGCTTCTGCATGGCGGCAACCTGGCGGTAAGGTCGGGGCGGACAGGGTCGGGCTGCAGGGTGGGGCAGGGCAGGGTAGGGTAGGGCAGGGTAGGGTAGGGCCGGGTAGCCAGGTCTTGCCTCGTCGTCTGTCGTCAGCTTGTGGGGCGGCGTCACAACATGTTTGTAATTTGTCCTTTGTCACTTGCTGAGGGCCAGGTTGTTGAATGCTTCGTGTTTGGTGCGTGCTGCTGTGTTGGTGCTTGTTGCCGGTGTTGGTGGTGCTTGATGCTTGGTGCTCGAAGCTTGGTTGCTTGAAGCGCGGCCAGTTGCAGAAGCAGGGAACTATATTGCTTGCTTGCGTGCTTGCGTGCTTGCGCGCTTGCTTGCTTGTGTGTGTGAGAGTGTGTACGTGTGTCTTTGCTTGTGTGCTTGAAGTTCTCACCATTTTCACCGTTTGTTTGTGATTTCGCAGTTGCCTGTTTGATTCTGGTTGCTTGTTTGTTTGTGCATGTGGTTGGTTGCCCGTGAGCTTACTTGCTGGCTTCCTTCTTTTGATTGGTGTGCTTGGTTTGCTTACAAGTGCCTGGTCTGCTTGGTGTGCTTGGTTTACTTGGCTTGCTGGGTTTGCTTGGCTTGCTTGGCAATCCTGCTTGCCTTTATGCCTACGTGCCTGCCTGCCTGCCTGCCTGCGTGCTTGCTTGCTGGCTTGGTTTGCTGATTGTCTGCATGCAGTTTGGTGGTTGCAAGCTTGGTTGGTTGGCTGGCGGCTGGCTGGCTGGCTAGTGGATTGTTTGTTGGTTGGTTTGCGAGTGGGTTAGTTGGCTTGTTTACATGTCAACGTATTTATGGATCAATTTGTCCTTCGTCGGTAAGCTACATTTTTGCTCGAGCAGCCCCTACAAAACCCCTAACACAAGCCCCGGACATCAACCCTAAACCCCAAACCCGTAACCCTTCTAGGCCCTAAACTCAAAATCCTAAAACCCCAAACCCTTAACCCTTAACCCGAAACCCAAAATCATAAACCCCTAGCCTGTCTTTCATATATGTATGTATACATATACATATATATGTATACACATATGTACATATATATATATAGATACATTTGGGCTATTTATGTGTTGACAGGTTATGGATTTACATCAATATTATTTATTTTTTGTATATTCATGTTCTTCTACAGCCTAAACCCTTAGGGTTCTTAAAGCTTGATCCCCAACAGGCTCCCCTGCTAGAGGCCTCGGCAACCCGTCGCCCAGACAACCGGGCGGCAGCTCCTTGTTGGCAAAGGAAGTCTAGGCTTTAGGACTTGGAGCTTAGGCATTAGGGTCTCGGCTTTTGGGTTTAGGCTTTTGGCTTTAAGGCTTTAGGGTTTAGGGTTTAGGGGTTCAGAGTCTTGGTGTCTAGACGCTTGAGGGTTTTGTGGTGTTTGGGTTCACGGGGATGGGAGAAGCCTTCATCAAAGTGCAGCCTGAGGGGGGCCGAAAGGGCTGAGGAAGCCTCTTGCAGCCTCTTCCCTGGGTATATTGGGAACCCAAAGCCCGAGAGCCCTGAACCCTACACAACAGAATCCCAAAACCCTGAAAGTCTCTGAAGCCTCATAACCTTGCAGGAACCCCCCCTGTAGCAAGCCCACCCCAAACCCTACACACCCTAAACCCTAAACCCTAAACCCTAAACCCTCAATTGGGGCGTCATATATGAACCCTACACACCCTAAACCCTAAGCCCCATGCGCCGAGTCGCAAAATCCTGACCTAACCCCAGAGGACCTGCAGGGTCGCACCTCGGATGCAGAAACCGGCATACGCTGGGCTGCTGAAGGGGCTTAGGGTTTAGGGTCTAGGGTTTAGGGTTTAGAGTCTAGGGTCTAGGGTTTAGGGTTTAGGGTCTGGGGTTTAGGGTCTGGGGTTTGGGGTCTAGGGTTTAGAGTCTGGGTTTTTTTGGTGGTTTAGGGTTTAGGAGTTTAGGGTAAACTACCAAACCCTTCTTTATTGCAGGTTCTTATGATAAACCCCAATATGGAATCTATAGGGGCCCTACAAAAAAGTAGGTTTTGGTAGGTTAAGGAACTGTACCATGGGCTTAGGGTTTTGGAGCTTGAGATTTTTGGGCTCAAGGCTTTAGAGTTCAAAGGTGGGGGGCTGCAGAAGAGAACTGGCAAACTGCAGCACACCACAAGCTGCAAACCCTGGAGGGGACTTAGTAATCCCTAAACCCTAAACTATAGATCCCTTAAAAGGAACCCTTATGGATCCTTCAAAAGAACCCTACTTGGAGGATCAGGGGACTTAGTAAGTAAGTTTATAAGTACCTTAAGTGGGCTTATAAGTGCTGATAAGTATAGTTACCTTATTTATAACCCCAGTTACTAAGCCCCATGATCCTTCAAGCATCGCTGCCGCACCCCTTCGAAACATCTGACATTATCGATGTGTAAACGGCTCGAATCTTTAGAATAGGACTTGGGGTTTCAAGGCTTACGGATTTAAAGTTGCGGGGTTCAGAGTCTGGGGCTTTAAGGCTTTAAAGGTTTTAGGGGGTGGGGCTTTAGGGCTTAAGCTTCAGAAGGTTTGGGTTTTTTTTTTTTAAGGTTTGGGGTTTAAGGCTTATGGTTTAGGGCTTAGGGTATACCCGGCCTCGTCATAAGGACCTTACACAAAGGAACCCTAATTCTCTGAAAGCCCCCAGAGGAAGCTTTCCTGGGAGCCAAGACCTCAGACATCCCACACACACTGGCACCCAGAGACTCCAATATTCCTTAATTAGGGAATATACCTTAAATCCATATTAAGGATCCTACTATAATTTAAGGTATATTCCTTACTTAAGGCATATTGGAGTCTCTGGGCACACACAGACAGACAAACGCACGCACTCATTTGCTCGCTCGCTCACTCACCCACTCACTCACTCAACCCTGAAGACCAAACTTAGGTTTTCATAGGTCAGACCTATATTATAAACCCTAAACCCCAAACCCTAAACCCTCAACCCCAAACCCTTCAAGCTGAAAGCCTGCCCCTCTTCCGCACACACACACAAACCCAAACATCCCCCTAAACCCCAGACCCTATGCCCTTAACCCGAAGCTTTTGGACCCTAAGCCCGAAACTTTAAGAGACCCTAAACCCTTCGAATCGCAGCAGAGCCCTCCTGCTTTGAACTGCGCTACGTTCCTATTCGCAAGTAGTACTGGTCCTCAAGGTCCCGTAAAACCGTTTCTGCGCAGATAAGACTTCAGGGCTTTAGGGTTTTGAGGTTTGGGTTTTAGGATTTGGGGGTTTGGGTGTGTAGCACTGTACCCCGAACACCTTGTGTGATTTCTATTGGTCTGGTCAGTCTAAACCCTAAACCCTAAAGTCTGCAGTCAAGCAGGATGTTGGGCTCTCTGAATCTAGAAACCGCCCTTTATGTCCTACTTGGAGGATCATGGGACTCAGGTTATAGGTACCTTAAGTGGGCTTATAAGTGCTGACAAGTATAGTTACCTTAGATAAACCCCAGTTACTAAGTCCCATGATCCTTCAAGTAACCTATCCATACATACGCGCAGACCGTACGTAAAGCCCTAATACCCTAAACCCTGAACCCCAAAAACCCCAAAGCCCATCCACAAGCCCTAAACCCTCAGCTCGCCGGGCCACATGGACACGTCTTCGTCAAGCGATGACAGGCTCGGCGTCTGCCTTGCCGGGGGTCCTTCGAAGCCAAGCCTGGGAACAAGCTGGGCCCCACGCTTTCGAGGGTGTAGGGTTGAGGCCGTTTAGGGGGTTCAGGGTGCAGGGTTTAGGGGCGTGAGGGGATTTCGAGGGTTTAGGGCTGGTTTGGGGGATTTAGGGGGTTCCGAGCTGGGGGCCCAGGGTTCTTTTCTAGGTTCCTCTGCGTTGAGGGACTGGGGCATTGTAGGGCCTTGGGGCTCTAGTTCGGGGATGGTGGTCAGATCTTCGATTCATGTCGTCGATAGCTTCTGCAGGCTTCAGGTTTGGTCTGGAAGTGAGATGAAGGACTGGGGAGTGAAGAGTTTGGGGTTGGGGTTGTTTAGGGTGTAGGGTCAAGGAAAGCGCATCAGCAATTTCAGTGCCGGCATCCGTCTGTTCGTCACCTGTTGGATTTTAGGGCCTGGTGCAAGGCACGACTTCGGGTACTCGGGGCTCAGGCATTGGTCTTCAGGTGCCCGACCCAAGAGAGCCTAATACCCCTGAAGTAAGGAGTATACCTTAAATTATAAGGGGATTCAGATTATGAGTTAAGCTATATTCCTTAATTAAGGAGTATTGGGCTCTCTGGGATTCTGGGTGACGATTCTTCAACATGTGGGTGTTTCAATATCTCCCAGAGACTCCAATATCCCTTAATTAAGGAATATACCTTAAATCACATAAAGGGTCCTACCATCAGTTAAGGAATGTTGCTTCATTAAGGGATATTGGAGTCTCTGGGGACGTTCTACACCACCTCCGTGGCCGGCGGGCCCGGTGCCAGCAAGTCTAATGACAATTGTGAACCTGCGATGTTCAAACATGCCTTAGGGTTTAGGATTCTTTTTTTGGAGGGCCTTCAGGGTTTAGGGTTTAGGATTCAAGGTTTCGGGTATATTAAATAGAACTCGTGTACTACCTCCGCCGTCCTGCCGCCCTCCACTTAAACCTCACTGCACACTCTGGCTGTGCGGATGTCCTCTTTCCTGCAAGCAAGGGCTGAAGCTAAAGTACGGTGGCCTGACCAAGATTCAAGGGCCCAGTCCCACTTCAAAACCCTGGAAATGGGACAGAACCTTCTTGAACCCTATACTACATCCAAGTGGCAGGTTGACATAAAGGAAGACATCAGCAGCGGCGTGTTGGCGGGGGAAAGGAGAGCTGATGGTCACCCGCCTGCTGAGGGCGTATTCGGGTTTGGGGTTTCGGTGCGGCATGCACACGGCTGTGGTGCTTGTCTCCCCCGGCGCCTGGAGCGGAGGTGCTTCCTGGACTCGCCGGGCACACGCAGCGTCATCGACGGCAACGCCTGCAGAGCAAGGCCGAGCACAAGCCAAACCTCACCTCCAGCTTGCTGCGAGAGCTGCAGCGACCCCCCCCGCCCATGGCCTGCTCCTCTTCCACCTGGCGGAAACGAGGCGTTTGGCAAAACACTCGGAGGGGTTCGCAGCGATCCGATCCGCGGCGCGCCTGCTGGCCCGCCGGGTTCTCGGCGTAGGCCTTGCGCACCTTCCGCGCGTAGCGGCGCAGCACGGCATCGAGGTTGGCCCAGTCCAGCGGCCGCGCAAAGCGCTTCAGGGTGGGCATTCCCATCCGCACCTCTGCAGCACACCCGGCACATGCTGGACGGCTCAGACTCATGTCTGGAAGCAACACTGGCCATGCGCGCCTTGGACTTGCTGGTCTTGCGCACCTCGGACACAACACAAGAGGAGCCGACGAACGTTGCGAGCGCCACTGCGGCCAAGGCGCGAATCGCAGGTGGGCCTCCTCGATGTCCATCAGTGTCGTGCTCGCGTTCACCAGCAAGGTCATCTCCGCTAGCTCGTCGTAGCATTCTTCGTAAGACTCCTTAATTAGTACACGTAGTCTTCAGTCTTGGTGCTCTAGCTTTGCACTGAGAACTGGCGATCTCCCTCATGATCACTGCAAACGAAAACTTGCAGAACCCGTTGATCCAGAAGCCTTCGTCCGTTCCGCATTAGAGAGTTAGAGATTCAAGCAAAGGAGTTGGGTTGCACAGCCAATCTGAGCCCCACCCCCCCCCCCCCAGCAAAATCCCACCCGCCCCGAAGCCAATCCATATCTCTCCGGAGCCACTCGCGTCACCACGGCTCATCACCTGTCCGCCAAGCGGCGTTGCTGGCAGCAGAGCGCGCCGATGGGGCTCTCCTGGATTCCAGCAGGCTGCTGGGAAGCACCTTGCCGAGAGGGGCAAGCGGGCCTGACGAAGGATCGGGGGCGACTTCCAGTGCAAGCCAGGCAGCATGCTGCGTCGGGTCCGCCTCAGCCAGAACCCATGCACTTTCCGTCGGGAACACTAGCCAAAGCCCGGAATCGCCACACCTGCAGAGATCCCACAATGCAAGAGAGGTGCTTCTGGGACCGGCATGGAATCAACATCCTGCTTCAGGGCAAGCCTTAGCACTTCACTGCTTCCGACGGCAAGACGTGCGACATGACGTAACCAAGCTGCAAGTGGTAGGCGGTGCTCTCGCCATAGAGACGGGGAGGCAGCGGGACATGGAAGACGTCCACCGAAATCGCCTGACCCGAAGGGGACCGGAGAGGCACGCGCAGGCAGCGCGGGGCAGCACTGGATTGCAAGCGCTGCCGCTCGCTTTCGTCCCCATCGCTCGTTGCCGTGGCCGGCGCGAGGAAGTCATCGAACATTTTCTTCGCCTTGTCATCGACAATAAGTTCCCGAAAGCTGCACCCGGCGAACTCCTCTTTGCTTGACAGGAGCCGTAGCAGGCACGGCGCTTTGCCGCAGATCTGAAAGTTGCCGTCCAGAAGCAGCTCTCCGTCGCAGATGCCCTTTAGCATCTGCCGAAAGCCCCCAATCAAGGAGTCTGAGTCTTGCGACTGAAACGATGCGGCGATCCACTCCCGAACAGCGAACTCGAAAAAGAGTGGGATGGCCATGTATACTAAAGCCTGGACACAGGCAGACATTACCAGCCGCGAATTTGGCTCGTCGAAGACCTGCCCCTTGACCAGGGTGTCAACAAGAAAGTAGGATGCGGTCTGCAATACGGTCATTGTGCCGACAGGAAAGAGGAATGTCTGCAGAAGCTGACTTGCCTGAGACAAGCCGTGCCTTGCCAAGACGCCATTCTGGTCTGCGCCGCTCACCCCGACGAGAACCAACACCAACATCCAGAGCACGATCCGCAGAGAGACCAGGAGCGCAGGTGTGAGAGGCCAGCGATTTGTGCTGAGAAGCCCGATCATGACATATATAAATGCGCTGATGGCCCAGCGGATCGCCACGCACAGCCGGGGTGCCCGGATCAACTCAAAGGTATCAAATAGGAGTGTAACAAGCATCAAATGGACGATGAGCCGGAAGAAGAGCATCAACATCTTCAAGCGCACACGCATCAGCTCCTGGCGATGAGCGCGGTATCTCATTCCGATGGCTCAACGCGGAGATGCGACAACTTGGACTATGATGTGCCCGGAGCACGGGCTGACAGATCACTCAACGAGTTATGTTGCCCCAAAATACCCTGCAGTCACATTGCAGGGTCCGGAACCGTGCCTAGCTTTACCGGATCTGGAGTGCGAAATTCCACTTTGACTTGAAACTCTCCTCCTGTCGTAAACATGTCTGTACCATATGACCTCAGACCCATCGCGCAACTGCATCGCGACAGCCTTGACAGCAAGCGTTTCGAAGAATTGCCTGAAAAACCTGTGTACGCCATGGCAACATGCAACTGTGGATGTGAAGCCTCGCCGACAACATCACAGCTACTGCCACAGCTGCAGCTGCCTGTGGACCTGTTTCCATGCCTCCACCCTACCGTCAACTCTCCTCCAGTAGGTGAAATCCCTCAGAATCTGATGTATCTGTGCAAGCCCTGCCCTCCTCCTCGACGCGCGCCGCCATGGGGCTGAGCCCCGAGCCCTTTCCGCCAACCTGGGCGGCAGACTGCGATCCCCAACGAGGCCCCTGCAAGAGAGGCGTCCACACAAGGCTTCGGCCCAGTCTTGCGCGAAGTGGAGGAGCTGCGACAGCACGGATTTCAAATCCGCCTGCCGGCTTCAGCAGGGCTGTGAGGCTGTGAGGCCATGGGGGACGGGAGGGCACGTGCGCCTTCGTCGCATGCCAGTGCGCCACCAACAGGGCCACGCAGGCCGCACCGGCCATGGCCGCATCGCCGCTCCCAAGCGCCTGCGCCGGCACGTGGGCCATCATGGCTTGGGAGCGTCATAGCCAGCTGAGCCGACAAAGTTGCGGATGCCACTGCTGCCGCACGGAGGTTTCTGAAGCCTGCAGCTAGATGCTGTCACCCTGCGGCGGCGTTTCGCAGAACACCCTTAACCCCTGAAACTCGATAATGTAGAACATGAAGGCTGTCTTTTGCATCCGAAGGCTCTCTGATGGCGATCAGAACAAGGGGCGGACCTGAAAAGGCTTTATGCAACACCACATCACGATTTCGCCCTTTGTGTTCCTTGGGGTGTACAGCTCCGCTGAGATCACCCAACTGTGAGGCCACCATTCAACAGCAGCAAAAGAGAAGCAAAGCGCTTGGTCGCATGTTCGTAAGTCTCTATGTGTGCACTATGTTGATATTCTATCCAGCTATCGCTCTGCTCATCTCTGTGCCGGGTGCAAGTGCAAGACACATTGCGCGGGCCCTCGTTCTACGCAGACAGCAAAGACTCACACGCTTCTAAATTATCTCCTGCGCTTGCACAGCGAGGAGCACGTGCCAGTCAGTCTTCACCATCGCTGACCCAAGGCGCGCATCTGTCAAAACTTTGAGGCAATCAACAAGATTTAAAAGGGATGTAGGTTAACGCGATGCCCTAGACCCCAAACAACAGATCGTGGCGCACAACGCTAAACCCTAACTCACCTAATTGCATTATGACTATCCCGAGCCCGACAAAAAGACTCATAAACCCCATACAACCAAAGGCGAGACAACCAAACTCTAAACACGACATGGCTGTCCTTCCAAGTGATAAAGACAGCCCCGCTACCCTATACGTTGCAACCGAACAGGCTTAATGGCAGTGAGTTTGTTAAATGACAGCACTGACAGCCTCGACCCCAAACCCTCCTAAGAGGACTCTCGAGCAGAATCTATGGAGCCTTCATTGCTTGTAAACCCCTTTATGGAGACTCCAATATCTTAATGCAGCCAAATGGAGCCCAACCCTTACGGAACCCTTCTTGCAATTAATCTAAAGGAACCCTGAGCCCTTACTTCTGGAACCCTAAGCCCTTGCGGAACCCTAAACCCTTATGGAACCCAACCCTGATGAAAGCCTTTACCAACGATCCACGTCCGACCCATAATATAGGGCCTTAATAATTAGATTAGTGTTTTGGTGCCCATTGTACTATACGTATAACAAGGACCCCCCCAAATAGTATAGGTAATTAGTTGGGAGTTTCCGAAAAAATTGGCTCCTTGTTTGGAGTTCCTTATACTAAGGGTCCTACAATTTAGGGTACTATATTAGGGTCCCCAATTTTCGGAAACTCCCATTTAGGCCCCTGTATTAAGCTTCAGTTTGCTCGCGTTGCGTGGCTCGAGGCCTCCGCCGGCGCCTCTCTGCAGGATTAGAATTTACAGGGTGGGTTTGGGGGTAGGGTTCAGGGTTTAGGGTTTAGGGTTTCGGGTGGGTCTGGGGTTAGGGTTTTGGCGATTTTTGAAAGATAGAGACCATGCACCAATTTCCAAGGAGATCCCCATTTTCGAATTTTCGGCTTGATCCTCGTGCTGCAAGGGTTATATAGGGTCTAGGTTTAGGTTTAGGAGTTTAGGGGTTTAGGGCTTAGGGGTCTAGGGATTTCTTGAAGTTGACCTTGTTGAAGGGCTTTGGAGTCTGTGCGCCATTCTCCTTGGGGCTGGGTCTCCAGGTCAAGGTTTGCCGAGGTCTCTTAAAGGTAAAGCGTTTGGAGTTCCCGAAGACTCCAATAGTCCTTAACTATAAGGAATATACCTGAAACAGTAAGATCTCCGTAATACGACTTAAGGCATATTCCTTAAAACAGGGATATTGGAGTCTCTGGCTTTAGGGTTTGGGGGGTTCAGGGGCCTGGAGGAGCTTCAGTGTTTCAGGCCAGGGGGCTCGGGGTTCAGGGCAAAGTTACAGCAGGAACTGACGTCTCAAACTGCTGGTCTGGTGTGCTTTTAACCTTTAAAAGCCTTCGGATGACAATTGCGAGCTTCGAAAATGAAGGACCCCGACAACAGATCCTAAATCATTGGAGCCTTACAACTGTGTCAAAGATCCCCCAAGCTTCAACAGACACGTTCCGCTGCCGGCACAAACCGGCACAGCACACAACACATGAGACCAGACATTGTGATGCTTTCCCGCAGTGGAAAAAACCTACACTCTAAACCTTAAACTCTGGAGCTTGGGTGGTACATGGCGGCTAGCGGGGTGGCTGGCTGGCTCGGTGGAACCGACCGCAAATTTCAAAACCTCAACCCCAAACCCCAAGGTCTCTTAAACCCTTAATGTAGGCCCCCGATTAACGAACTCTGGGCCTGGAACCCCAAAAAAGTATGTAGGACCCACATCAAGAACCTGAATACGACCCAAGTTCAGTGACTCAAGGTTTCTTAATCACGTTCCCAGGTTGCAGCTATCCTCCCCCTAGAACGAAAATAACCATATTATGTTTAATATTCTCTTGGGTTTTATATGAACCAAAATAAAAAAAAATCCTCTATTGCTCTTGAAATTCTCTTGGGGTTTATATGAACCAAAATATCAAAAAAACAAAAATCATTCCTAAGGAGACCATAGACAGTTCAGGGCCTCCCTTCGCCCAAAGGACCCGGAGGCAGCTCCTTCTGCGAGGCAATGAGGGAGCTTCGGAAGCTTCCGGGGCTCTTTTTCTTTTTGAAGTGCATCAGAGCGATCTTTTGGGGTACCTTATTTGGGGGTCCTCATAATAAGGATTCTACTTCTTGGGGTACTATATTAAAGGTCCCCTATTTTAGGGTTTAGGGTTTAGGGTTGCGGCGTGCGCATGGAGGGCGCGATTTTTTGGTCGGAACGGGGGGGCGCACCCACTTATATCGCGGAGCGCGGCAGCATTTAGTCCTCAGGCGCTCGGCCGGGGGCCTCGGTCGGGACTCGAGCGCCCTCGAAACTTGTTTTTTTGCGTGGCAGGCTGTAAGGTTGGATTTAGGGTGTTTGGGTTCACGGGTTTGGGAGAAGCCTGTGTCGCAGTGCTGTCTTAGGGGGGTCAGTCTTGGGGCGGTCAACAGACTGTGATACGTGCAGAGAAGTATGCATGACTAGCTGTAAAGCTGCTACCCTCGCTTCGGGTTTTCGGTTGAAGATTTAAGGTTTGGTGGGTTTTAAGGGTTTTAGAGTTTAGAGATACGAGAGTTTCCGAAAATTAGGGCACCTTATTTGGGGGTCCTCATAATAAGGATCCTACTATTTGGGGTACTATATTAAAGGTCCCCTATTTTCGGAAACTCCCATACGTGTCTACACGACTCGCAGATCCATATGGGAAGAAGCTTCGCTGAGGCCCTGGATGCAGGATGACAGGTGAACATATTCGGCACACACCTCTTCCTAAACTTATTGGCAAACACAAAACCAAAAACCTGAAACCCTAAACCAAACCAGAAAATTCCCTAAACAAAGATGCCCTAGTGCACCACACTTTCCATTCTCGCTCCAGGCTTGCGCAGGCTCAGGGTCCACACGGAAGCTGTCCAGCACTTCTCGCTGGAATCTGAAATGACATCGCATCGCACATGCTGCTCTTCTGTGCGGGCGTAGTCAACTGTTTAGATGGTTGCTATGCCACGGCGTCTGGCAAAACCCAACACAGATGAAGTGCAGGGATATAGGATCAGTTTTGCAGCCGGGCTTGCAGCCATCCTCCCCGGGCGGGCGGGTGGGCGCAGCTTGAGCGGGAAATGTTCGCCCGTCAGGAATCTTTGAAGTGCAAAGATGCCCTAGTGCACCACACTTTCCATTCTCGCTCCAGGCTTGCGCAGGCTCAGGGTCCACACGGAAGCTGTCCAGCACTTCTCGCTGGAATCTGAAATGACATCGCATCGCACATGCTGCTCTTCTGTGCGGGCGTAGTCAACTGTTTAGATGGTTGCTATGCCACGGCGTCTGGCAAAACCCAACACAGATGAAGTGCAGGGATATAGGATCAGTTTTGCAGCCGGGCTTGCAGCCATCCTCCCCACTCCTACTTCGGGGTGGGCGGGTCCGGGGGCGCAGAGCGCCCAGCTTCCGTGCGCGTGATGCGCTGAAGGCCATTCCTTGCCTGACTATTAGCGGCGTGCAGCAGCCAGCCCCACAGGAGAGACTCATCGGCGGGACTCACCATGAACTCACTTAGAACAGAAGGAAACATTAGGGCTAGCTGATGCAACCGGACTCGGTGAGCCATGGGAACTTGAGTGAGCACGTGCACAGCACCCAGCTCTTGTATGTAGTGAGACAAAGTGCGTTGGTGCACCCATCTACCACGCCACTGCAAGCGCGGCAAATCTTCTCCCCAAAGCTGAAAAAGATAGCTCGCGCCTCCGGGACGGAGAGAGCTGGGGTAGACCAGCTTGGGCAGTGTGGTGAGGTGCTGCACAACCAAGTGCCAATGACGGCGGAGCTGACTCATGGAGCCAGGCCAGATCTTTTCCGATGGGAGCATCTTGGGCAACAGCCGCTTAACAAAATCAATCACCATCGGCTCATCGAGTCGCACATACTGTTGTTTGGGACCTCTGGTCCGCGACTTGGTTGATGGCAACAAAATGAGCAAGACCTTGCCGAGGCCATGGTCTATCGGGGTTACGAAATGATCTTTGGACAGCTGCAGCAGTTCAATTGGTCTCAGCATGGCGAAAAACCCCAACAACGAAGTTAAGGCCAATCTCCACCAACCCCACGCCAGCATGGTGACCACTAGCGCCTGCAGCATAGGCCACGGCACCGGCGGATGGATTTTCGTAGGATGGAGTTTTTCCCATGTGGAGACCAAGGCCCACGCTGCACCCATCACTGGCTTGAGGTGAGGGAACTTCTCAATCACAGCGTTCACAGTCTCAGAAAACGAGTGCTTGCTTCGACCCAGCTCGTAAAGCTGCTTGCCATACTCCACAAGAGCATCGACCAAAACAAGCTGGTTAGAACGAGCTGTGTGGTGTAGCGACGCTGTGAGCATTGATTCCTCCCAAGCCCATGTGGTGA